TTATATTCGGGTCGACTTATACTCGAGTATATACGGTATATCAATGATAAATAAAATACTTATTCTATTCCAATTCAGCTCTATCATTAATGTTAGTTATAATCTTTGACATCTTTAACATTCCTTTTCAATAGGATATCATACTTCTAGGAACACTTATAATATTTCCATATTTTTTTCATGTTTCTTTCATATTCCTCTTCACTTAAATTTTTATAATACATTTATAATAATTAAAATGTTCCCTTCCTTTCCTAATTTTATTCTCTCATTCTCTTTATTTCATTTATTTATTAAACATTCCATTACATTACAATGAGTATTTTATCTATCATTTTAATCACACTTGTTTCATATTTTCAAAGTTCATTTCTATTTCTAATATAACAATACTATCTTATGTACCCTTGCAGAATCCCCCTTTCAATTACGTTTTCACCCATTATCTCTGTGTCTTGTACGTTTTCCCTGTTTCTCCTCCATGCTGCATCGAAAGCCCAGGATGGGTTGACTCCTTCCTATGATGTCATTTAGCTGAGTCTGTACTAAGATATAAAAGCCAGCCCCCGGAAGAGACCCCAGCTTTTGACTCAGCTCCTTTCAGTCAGTAGCTGTGTCTGAAAGCTTCTGTTAGATAACACTGACCAGTGATCTTCAGTGCCGTTTTTCCTCGTTTCAAGCAGCCCCCAGGATCTGGGCAGCTGCTCTTCCAGGAGAGCAGGGCTCTCGCTCTCTCTCTCCTGCAAGGTTGGGAGCAGCGTTGCCAGAGCGCTGTTCAGGCAAGTTGGGCAGCGTCTGTAGACCTCCCCCACGCCTGCTGTTTGAGCAGTCGTAAAAAGCGATCGGCAAACCGATAACAGCTTCAGCCAGCTGAGGTTCTGTAGATAGCACTCACCAGCAATCTTCAGTACCTTTTTTCCTCGCTTCAGCAGCTCCCAGGATCTGGGCAGCTGCTCTTCCAGGAGAGCAGGGCTCTTTCTCTCCTGCAGCGTTGGGAGCAGCGTTGCCAGAGTGTTGTTCAGGCAAGTTGGGCAGCGTCTGTAGATCTCCCCCATGCCTGCGGTTTGAGTGGTCATAAAAAACGATCGGCAAACCGATACCAGCGTCAGCCAGCTGATCGTGTGGCCAGAGGCTGCCCTTTCCTTTGCTGACTTCACTCGGGGCTCTTTATAGCCTAAGGAGAAATTCTTCGATCTCAGAACCTGTTTCCCATAGTCAGTGGCCATCTTGGATTGAAGCCTTCCACCATGAGGTGAGCGGTCATTTTGTAAGCCCGGGGGGCCAATTTATACCCTAAGGGGCTTAATACAAACAATTTACAAACAGTTTCTTTCCATCGTAAGAGCCTTTATTCTTCAAATGGAGCAAGATAAGGGTCAGGCAGACACCCCCCCCCCCAGTGGAACAGTCTCTTAAGCCAATAAGAGAAAAAGTTGTAGGCAATGCACCCAATCAGTCCAGAGGGAGGTGGCTGCTAAAATCAGAGCTAAGGCTCTAGCCCCTAAGAAGGCAACTCAGGCTGAGTTGAGGGCAGAAAAGCGCAGACATGCAGCCCTAGAGAGGCAGTTCAACAGAACTATTCAACAGAAGGGAGTGTAACTACAGCATGTTTCAGGTGATACCTGTGGGCACCAGCCAAGCCCTCCCAGGGGAGGAGAAGTTATCTATGAGCCTTTCCATCCTCCATCCTGGTCTCCTGAGGCTTTTGCAGTACAATGATCCTCAGGATCTAAGCAGATCTGGGCCTTATTTCCAACAGGCTTCTGGGCCCTATGCTCCTCCCCCTCCCTCCAGGCCTCGAACCTCTTCTCAATCTAGGCCTGAAGCCACCATCACTCCCTCAGCAGCGGGCCTTCTGCCCCTACCTTTGAGCATAGACCAGGGGATATCCAAGATGTTGTCTCTTTGGCCATTAGGCAGGGATTGGCTGAAGGCTTCAAGCAAATCCTTTGACCTCCGGAAAGGGTTCAGGCCCTTCTCCCTTCTCAATCTATAAGTTGCCTCATCACCCTGATTTACACAAGCCCCAGGACCTCAGGGTCCATTCTTCTCTACCAGAATGGGAGGAGGTTGATGAGGAGGGAAGGGCTTCACCATCTGAACACAGTTACTTCTCTCGTTCAGAACGTGAAGAGGGCAAGACCTTTGACCAAAATCTTCAGAGGAAGAGGACTCTCGCCCAGAGCAGACATCCTCTGCATTGGTCTTCAATTCTTCTCTCTTCAGGCCATTACTCAGCATGGCCTTGGTCACTGCCAAGCTGTTGCCAGAGGAAGTGGCTTCCAAGCCACAAGGAATTCTCTCTAGCCAGGGAGACTCATTCTTCTCCAAGTGCATGCAGGGGTTTTGCCTTCTCCCACTTTGTTCCTGGACATGGTCAAGGAACAGTGCGCTTCCCCTTTGGCAGGTCCTCGCCCATCTTCTCTGGATAAGTGTTTCTACAACGTCAGCGCAGCCCTGGACAATTCCCTGGCAGTGCCTTCTGTTGACATTCCGGTTCTGGCCTCGTTCCCATTTTCTGGCACTCTCATGTGGGCATCCGTACGGTGGCTGCACCAACTCCAGATTAGATTGCCTACATCTGACCTTCGGTCTCACCAAGGCCTTAATAAGATTATCGCAGCAGCGGAATTCACTGCAGATGCCACTCTCAATTCCACCAAATTTGCATCTAGGGCCATGGCATCTTCAGTAGCAGCAAGAAGACTGTTATGGCTAAGAAATTGGCAGGCAGAGTCACGCCGTAAATGGAAGCTTGTTTCAGTTCCATTCGTGGGCGATAAGCTTTTTGGCAATGCTCTGGAACCTTGTCTCATCGAAACTAGAGATAAACATAAAATTCTCTCTTCCTCTGGGAAGAGAGCCGACTATCGCCCAGCTCCTTATACTGGTAAACAGCCCTTTTGGGAGGGTGGGGGTTGTTCCTGCAGTCGCTCTAAGTAATCCCTTGTTCTCACCACCCATCGGAGGTCGCCTAGCCTTCTTTGCCTCCAAATGGGAGCAGTCAACGGCGGATGCCTGCGGCGTGGGGGAGGTCTACAGACGCTGCCCAACTTGCCTGAACAGCACTCTGGCAACGCTGCTCCCAACCTTGCAGGAGAGCGAGAGTGAGAGCCCTGCTCTCCTGGAAGAGCAGCTGCCCAGATCCTGGGGGCTGCTTGAAACGAGGAAAAACGGCACTGAAGATCGCTGGTGAGTGTTATCTAACAGAAGCTTTCAGAGACACAGCTACTGACTGAAAGGAGCTGAGTCAAAAGCTGGGGTCTCTTCCGGGGGCTGGCTTTTATATTTTAGTACAGACTCAGCTAAATGACATCATAGGAAGGAGTCAACCCATCCTGGGCTCTCTCTCAGCATAGATAGAAAGGGCGTTCAGGGCAACCTCTACCAACGCCCATTCTCTATGTCCTGGTTCTGTCCTTTATAGTTTCTTTTCCTTTCCCTCTTCTCCCTCTTCTTCTCCCTTACCTTTTTGACCCCTTCTCTCTCTAATTCTGATTCTCTCTTCTGTAATCCTCTCTTCTGTTTCTTCCTAATGTTATAATTACTTTTCAAACTATTCTTTTTTGGGGTTGTTTTTTTCGGATCTTAATTTTTTCACTCTCTTTCCCCCCTTTCCTTTCTTTTCCCCACATAGAAATACTTGGTCATTGAAGATGGCTTCTTCTTTGTCCCGCCCTTCTTGTTCTACAGGCATTTCTTGTTTCTCATAGTTCAGGATCTCCATTTCTAAAAATTGAAATACGAAGCCAAAAGAACCTCTTCCTTCTTGTGCATCTTCTTTCTGTTTTTTAAGTTCCATTCTCAATTCTTCCAAGAGTGATACCATTTTAAAAACTTTTAAACAACCACCTGATTAATTTTAGTCCTTTAGATCCAATAGCCAAAAATCCAAAAATCACCAAGTAATCCAAATAATCCAAAGCTGTTTCTTTTTGCTTCTTTTTTTCCACTTTCTCTTCCTGGGGTTCTCTTACCTTGTTACAAAGTTTCAGTTAAAATGTATCTTTTAGGAATCTTGTTAAAGTTTCTCTGTTAATTCCTTTCACTTCCAGATGGTCTCTTCCCTTTTTCCAGATCCCACCCTTTTGTTTTTTTCCTTCTTTTAAAAGTTTTTGAGAATCCAGAAATCTTTATTATCCCTTTGACATTTTATTTTCAGATTACCTGTTACTGTCAAAGTGGATTTTTGCCAATTTCTTGCTTAAATCTCTTAGTTGTCAATATAGGGAAGAAAAGGGAAAAAAAACCAAATCCTTTCCCTTCCCTGTCTCATTCGCAGCTTCAAAGTCTTCTTTGGGAACAATGTTGTTCTTTATAATTCAAATTCCAGGGCACCTTGTATTGTTGCTTTTTCAGTTCAACCCAGTCAGCCAAAAACTTTCTCTTCTTATCTTCCTCCTGCACATTCTTTTCCAGTCGAGTTCTTCTTTGAGGTGGCCATTTCTGACCACCGCTGCAACCGCCTTTGGGAAAGGGAGTAATGGCCAGCTGGGGAGGAGAGATGCGGCTCTCCTCGACCCTGCTGGCAGTCTCCCCCCTCTTCACCTCTACGGGGTGGCTGAGCCCCGAAACCAGCCGGCTCGGGGCGCTCCAGCGGCGAGCACAGATCGAAACTGCGCACAACCGTACATTTTCGTCTGTTGCCAAAGAAGCTCAAACCGGATCTCTCCTCACAACTGCATGTTAATGGGGTCAAGGTTGTATATAAAAATCCCAGGTTCCAGAAAGCCTAGTTCTGTGAGCAGTTAAGATTTTATACTGAAACTGCTAGAGTCAGTCTCCAAATGATAAAATATCTCACATTACATATCTCAGTTTAAATAGTTTGGAGATCTAATTGCATCTTGGGTTTCTTTTTTTGGTGGTGGTGGGGGGGGGATAAAGCAGCTATGTTAGTGTATACTTGCAGTTTTATTTGGTTGTTTTAATTAAAATTCTGGTATGTTTGTACTTAAATTGCTCAATATTATGTTTCTGTCTTGCCCTTTGTGTTTTAGGATGTAGATGAAGATGAAAAACTTGGAGAGCTGGACCTCAGAAATGATTTAGAAGTTCCTGAAGTTGTCCCAGCAACAGACAGCACTCCAGAAATTTTTAAAAAGGCTCTTTCTGGCTTATCTTCCAGGTATGAGGGACAAATGCTCCTGGAGTGATATTAACTTAAAATTAATATTTATCACAGACTATATGCAAAATTTGCTTTTGGTTTAGAAAGGTCTTCAGCAACCATTTAAATGGAAGTGGGCATGTTAACAAAGTGCAGATCACTCTTTTATGTACAAATATTGAGTCAGTTAAACATTTCTATTGCACTGTAGTTTGATTGTATACTTCACATATGTATCTTACTAACAGAACAACCTCCTGAATCCTGTGGTTATTTCCTTAGAGTTAAGATCATTGTGTACAAGTAGACCTATTTCTGATAGATATATGTTATCATGTGGAAGCTGAATTTATTTTTAAGAAATTCCTGTGTTCAAAACTTTCATTGTTCATAACGTTACTGATTAACTAAACATTTTCTTTAGTTATAAGGGTTTGTAAAACCAGCCTGTATATTTTCTTTTTTCAGATGGAAGAACTGGTGGATTCGTGGAATTTTAACTTTAGCAATGATTTCAGGTTTCTCCCTCATTATATATATGGGATCATTTATGCTGATGCTGCTTGTAAGTTTTATATCTCAACATTTCATGTAATTCTAGTTGGAATTATAAAAGTCACAATCCTTTTTACAGCAAAATTTATCTAGCAGGGTAAAAAACCCAGAATAAAAATCAAACTACTACAAGATATGAAGAGCAGAGGAGGCTTTGGATTGCCAAACTGGGAATTATATTATAGTGCAGCAACATTAGTTTGGCTAAAAGTTTGGATTAATTTAAAGAATAAAAGAATATTAGCTATAGAAGGTCATGATCTTCAGAGGGGATGGCATGCCTTTCTTTGGGACACAGGACCCACTAAACAAAAATATTTCCATAGACATCTGATTAGAGATTCGTTGATATACAATTGGATCAAGGTCAAAAAGAAACACTATATAAAAATCCCAATTTGGCTATCTACAATGGAAGCGACGATCCACCCAAATAATTTAGACCTGAACAAAATGTTTAAATGTAAAGACTTATTGGATACAAATGGAAATTTAAAAACAATACAGGAGCTCCAGGAACAAGGGCTATGAGTAGACTGGTGTGCTTATCTCCAAATACAAAGTTGATATAAAAAATATGTAAAGGAGTATGGAATATACTTGAAAACTCAACAATTAGACAAAATTTTAGTAGGCCCAGATTTAAAAAAAATTACCAAAATTTACAAATATCTCCTAGAAGTAGAATTAGAAGAAGAAGTAGTGAAAGGATGCATGATTGCATGGGGTCAAAATATTGGTCATAACATAAAGTTATCAGACTGGGAGACTGTATGGAATAGAAATCACAAATTAACAAAATCAGCAACATACAAAGAAAATGCATATAAAATGTTCTATAGGTGGCACTTATCCCCTTTGAGATTAGTGAAAATGTATCCTAAAATGAGTTTTATATGTTGGAAATGTAAAGAAAAAAAAAAAAAAGAGGGAACATGTTAAAAAAAGAGGGAACATATGTGGTGGTCCTGCCCAGAGGCTCGAAAATACTGGCTCAAAATCCAAAATGGGCTACAGGAGATCATCAATGAACAATTAGACCTAGAACCAGAACTCTTCCTATTGGGGATCTTCAAAAAAATATGCAAAGAGTACAAAATACTTATTATTACACATATTGACTGCTGCCAGGATTGCCTTTGCCCAGTGTTGGAAACAGCCATATACACCTGTAGAGGAACTGGTTATACAAAAAGTTATGAATTGTGCTGAAATGGATAAACTAACGCTGAGTTTAAAAAATAAGGAAGCTTCAATATTTTATAAGGTATGGGAGCAATGGTATAGCTGGATAAATCGGAGACAGATTAAGGATAGGTAATTGTTAAATATAGAATATAGATAGAATAAGAGTATAATTATGCACAAATTAATATTTGTAAATATTGCACAAATGATTGATATATGATAAGCACCACAAACAGCTGTTATTGAATGATATATTTTTTATGTTTTTAACGTAATAAAAATTCAATAAAGCTTATTTTTAAAAAAAGTCACAATCCAAGGATTAATTGTAACAACAATGAAGATAGAGTAGAATAACAGAGTTGGAAGGGACTTTGGAGGTCTTCTAGTCCAACCCCCTGCTTACGCAGGAAATCCTACACCACTTCAGAAAAATGGTTATCCAATCTCTTCTTAAAAACGTCCAGTGTTGGAGCATTTACAACTTTTGGAGGCAAGTTGTTCCACTGATTCATTGTTCTAACTGTCAGGAAATTTCTCCTTAGTTCTAAGTTGCTTCTCTCCTTGATTAGTTTCCACCCTTTGCTTCTTGTCCTGCCCTCAGAACATCTATCCAGATGTTTATGTACACAGAGGTGCATTGCGATGTTACAATAAGCGAACAATTTTTAGAATTCTTGTGTTTTTGTTAGAATAATATGCTTCTCTAGTTATATGAGTAGAATGATAATTCAGTTTCATTTAGTTAAGACAAACTGATCTGTACAAGTTCTAGAAATGACAGCATGTGAATATTTCATAATCTCTCATGCCTCTAGAAAATCCAGTGTTAGAACCTCTGTTACCCCTTTCCATTATTTCAGGTCTTAACCATACAAGTCAAGTGCTTTCATGAAATCATCATTATAGGTTACAGAGTATATCGATCTTATGACCTACCATGGTTTAGAACATTAAGCTGGTAAGTAATAACTGGATTTTAATTTTTTTTTTTAGCTCTGATTCTAAATTTCTTTTTTTCATGGTTGCTTTCTAAGAAAAGTGTCAACCTAGGATTTAATGATTCTTCTTCTAACTGCAGGCTTTGTGTGTTGCTTCCATTCTGAATGTATTTAAATTGAACTCTTGAGACCCCCCACAACAGTGGGATCAACTCAACTTAATTTAATTAATAAATGTTCCAAATTATAAATATTTATCAAATAATACTAGTTTAAATAATTGTATTCTTCTATAGGGCAAAATATGTCTATTTTTGACAATCCTTCATCAGTTGTATGGTTTGTTTTAAAGCAGGGGTGTCAAACTATTTCATTGAGGGCCACATCAGGGTTGTATTTGACCTCAGGGGGCCAGGGTGGGTGTGGCCAGGTGGGTGTGTCTATGGCATCACTTGTGTCAGGGTGCTGTGGCAGCTCGAATCGTGTTCTGCCAGCGAAAACTGGCTCCTGAGCTCCGTTTTTGGCTGTGATGGCCTCCTGCAATCCTCTGCCAGTGAAAACTGAGCTTGGGGGGCTACACACAGCACTCCCAAGCTCCATTTTCCCTGGCGGAGGCACCGCGGGTCGGTTGTTTGTCATTTCCAGGGTGGCTTCACAGGCCAGATCTAAGCACCCCGGGGGCCAGATCAGATTGTAACTATCAGAATACTGGTATTTCTCCTGAGACCTGTTCCGAGCATCCAGGCATGGGAAGTGCTCCATCTGTCATTCGGTAGGCTGAGCTGATTTCTGAGGATACTCTTACTTGAGGCTCCTCCTTAGTGTCTCCAGTTTTAAAAGCTCAGTCTTCATTCATTTTAAATTATTTGTAATACTATGAAATTAAAATAAAATATAATAAACTTTGTAGCTCATATTTCACAAAGTAATTTTTAATGTATGTTTCAGGTACTTCTTGTTATGCGTGAACTATTTCTTTTATGGTGAGACAGTAGCAGACTACTTTGCTACTTTTGTTCAGAGACGAGAACAACTTCAATTCCTAATTCGCTACCACCGATTTATATCTTTTACACTTTATCTGGCAGGTAAGAATAAAGTTTGTCAGTAGTCAATGTATTTTGTGTACTTTGATATAACTTGTTGAACTTTCTACTTTTGGTAGTCTTCAAAATACAAAATATTATCCTTATATATGGCTTTAATACATTTATTAGGACAATGGAGAACATTTATAGCAACATGCTATAAAGTGAGTTGACATAAACAATGGCAGTGGCAGTGGGGGTTTTCCAAGGACATTTCTGCATGCATGTGCACGTAAAACATTTTGGTGGCAGAAAATTTGAAAGAGCTTTTGCAACTGCTTTCACAAGGCTTTCTGGAGAATGTCTTAGTCTTTAAGGAGATTCTCTTTGTTTGCACCAACATGCTTTGTGAAACACTTTGAATACTTGGCATAGCTCCATGGCTTTTGAAGGTTAAAAAGAAAGGAATGTATAATACATATCCAAGAGTTACAGTGAATATTGTAGACTTGATACTCTTTCTGTCATCTGTTCTTAATAAACATTTACACTATTAGCTCTGATATTGGAGTATGGATCAGAAAAGACATGGGAATCTTCGTTTAGTCCTGAGAGTATGTATTTAGCAGTAACATTGTAATAATAATAGAAGTAAGAGTTTTTTTCTGTTACAGATTTTATATGGTTTTTGCAGACTAAAACTCTCAGAGGAACATGTCAGGACAACTGTGTGTCAGGTTTCCTCAGTTTCCCCTCCATTTAATTTCAACCTGTGTTTAGGTAGTAAGAGTATTAACATTTTCAAGGAAGAAGAAATTATCTGGATCACATAACAGGCAGAATTATGTTGTATATTTTTAAAAAATTGCCTGCTTGCCTTGTAAATGTAATATTAGTAGCTGCAGAAATTCTAGGGCATTTTGGATAGTAGATTATATATGATCAAAGCTGCCCTTTAATGTGCCTTTCAAATTTACATGAGGTACAGATCATCAAGGTGTATGTTAATTTGCAAACTTTATTAACAGATAAGGAAGAATAAATGCTACATAGAATTTGCATTTTTAATAACAGCCAAAATTATAATTTCAAAAGATGGTTTATAGAAATTCATTAATTGACTCATTGCTTAAGATGAAGAACAATTTAGGAATATTCGATTAAACATTTTTTCTGCAAAGCTAAACAAATAGGGAAGACTTCTTTTTAAAAAGTATTTGATGCAGTTTAGTTTTTCAGATGCTATAAATTATAAATTTATGCCACTGTGTTTTGAAAACTTCCTTGAATCAGAATACAGTAATTACACTTGCATATATTATTAATTAATAGAACTTGAGATACGGGGTCTTTGCTCACAGTTTTCATGCTGCAAATCATGCGGTTTATCTTCAATTATATAATGTGTGAACTGACCTAGCAAATGTCTGAAGGGGAACTTGGATTGTAGCAAGTGACCGTATATATCATGATAGAAATGACACAAGTACATATTTCTTGTGTGTCATGATGGAAACAACAGTGTTGAATGTATTTATTCAAAATATTTATAGATTGCAGTGTGGGCTCTTTATGAACAAATGAACTAATAATGAGCAGTCTTTTGCTGATGAGCTTGATACAATTTATTTAGCCTAATGAGAACAATGTTGTAAAACATACACCTGTCTTCTTTATTTGTATAGGGTTTTGTATGTTTGTATTGAGTTTGGTAAAGAGACATTATCGCTTACAGTTTTATATGGTATGTATCAATCTTTAGGTATCCTCTTTAAAACACATTTTGGTTTTGGAATAGAAACGTTCATAAAGTAAATTTTAAAGACTCATGGATACAGGTCAAAATTATTTACACTATTTTACTAACTCCACATTTAATTTGATTTAGTAGCTAATAATCCCAGATTCTTAAAATAAGATTATTCTAACATTGATTATTCAATAATTCTAAGATTGTTAAAATGTTTTCAGCACAAAGAAAGATTCATGTGAATTTCTATAGACTTCAGTCAGCAAAACTGACTAAATTCTAAATAAGTTCAGAATAAACATTTATATATGAAATTGACAATTTTTGCATCCTGTGATTGTATATTAACACAAGAGCTGTCCTGGAAAATCTCCTCGTAGCACTGCTTTGCAGGGAATTTAAGATTTGATTGAGCAAAGACACACAATCTTAAATAATTGTGTGGTAATGTCTAGTCCAAGCCTTTATAGAGCTAATACGACTTTTAATTGATGACCATTACAATTAAGTTAGGAGTTTGAAAATTCTCTAGAAACAGAAACTGAAAGTTATATGCTTATATTGCCAAAGACATTTCTTTTAGTATTTTCACAAGATCAAACTAATAAAGATCTGGGTCAAATCTAACAAAAATTGGTAGAATGCAAATGGAAAACAAACCCTTCGTTTGTTAGTTGATCAGGCATTAGATATATTGAGATTGTTACTTCATTATACAAGTATTACAAGGGGCAATACTTTGACTTTATCAGTAAGAAAGGACTTATCTGATTCTATGGAGGTCACATTTTAAGCATTAATAATTTGTATCGGGACGTGGTGGTTCAGTGGCTAAGACGCTGAGCTTGCCGATCAGAAAGATTGGCAGTTTGTGGTTCGAATCCCTAGCACCGCATAATGGAGTGAGCTCCCGTTACTTGTCCCAGCTTCTGCCAACCTAGCAGTTCAAAAGCACTAAAAAAATGCAAGTAGAAAAATAGGGACCACTTTGGTGGGAAGGTAACAGCGTTCTGTGTGCCTTCGGTGTTTTGTCATGCCAGCCACATGACCACGGAGACATCTTTGGACAGCGCTGGCTCTTCAGCTTAGTAACAGAGATGAGCACCGCCCCCTAGAGACGGAAACGTCTAGCACGTATGTGCAAGGAGAATCTTTACCTTTGCCTAATTTGTAGAACCTACGTACAATTTTTCGCATGATTTCACCATGTCATGTATCATTAACATTTTAATGTTCCAATTCTAAATTGGGTATACATCTAGACTGATCATTATGATTTTTCTTATATGCCATTCCTATTAAATTAATTTCTGCATTTTTAATTACCGAGTGGAAGATACATATATATTGTTCTAGATGTCTGTTCTCATAACTGTCTTGTAAAGTTTTTTGCTTTTGTAACTAATTGTTGTGTTATTACACTATTACCAGTTCGCATGGACTCATGTCACTTTGCTGATCACTGTAACTCAGTCTCATCTTGTCATCCAAAATCTGTTTGAAGGCATGATATGGTAAGGGAACAATAATAATTCTTGCAAATTTGGGTATACATCTATATATCTATATTCTAAAGAGTGTTACCATTTTTTCATGGTTTTGAAGTGAGACCTTTCTGATGTATCAGTAAGAAAATATTGCTATAAAGTTTCACAGTTCAAACATTTATCCTCTGGTCAACAAGAATTGATCATGATAATCAAACTTTCAGCTGGTGTGTGTAGGTCTGAGTTAGAAGATTATTTTGGTCTTGTGGGAGAGCAAAGAGAGGTGAACAGGTGCCAGGATAAAGTGTATATCTGGCTTCAAAACAAGGTTGGGCATGAATTCCAATAACCATGGATTAATTGAAAGGAAAAGTAGAGTCCAGCAGCCACTCCATGCTCACCATAGACACTGAGAGCCTATAGCCAGCCAGCAGCTAATAACATACTTTCCGTTCCCCACATTGCCAACTGAAGGATAACTAAAGCCTATGGATTGGTAGCACTTCAGAGCAGCAGACATCAGTATTGAACTGAGAGTAGCAGGATGCCAGCTAACAACAAAACTAACTCCAAGGTGGCTAAAGAGATACTTTTAAAAGGACAAAGAAAACTGCAAATGGGATTCATTAAGATTTAGGAATATAATGTATGTGGGAATATATGCAGAGATAAATAGTATAGGTCACATGCTAAGAGTTAAATGGCAAATTAAGAAGTAAATAAGTAGAGACGGTTCTTGACTTATGACCACAATTGGGAATTTCCATTGCTAAGCAAGGCGATTGTTAAGTGAATCACACTTAATTTTACCACCTTTGGCTCATGATTGCTAAGTGAATCATGCAGTCAGTAAGTGAATCCAGCTTCTTCCATTGATTTTGCTTGTCAGAAGCCAGTTGGGAAGGTTGCAAATGGCAATCACATGAACTTGGGATGCTACAACTGTCATAAATACATGCCTAAAGTTTGATCACATGACCACAGAGATGATGTAACTGTCATAAGTGCAAGGACCAGTCATAAGTCTCTCTTTTCAACACTGTTGTAACTTTAAATAATTACTGTAAATAGCCACTAAACAAACGGTTGTAAATCAAGCACTAACTGAACCATAACATTACTGAGCATGATTTTGTAAGCTTATAACAAGGAAGATAGCACTACACTCTTCGTTGGTCTGCACCTTTTTCTAAAGAAGTCCTCACAAATCCCACCAATATAGTAGCAGCGCTTGCTTTCAGTTTAATGATATTTGGAGTACAATATCTGTTTTTTGCAAACTCCTGGTTGAATATATGGATGAATATAGCTTAGCAACCAGGTATTATTGAAAATCATTCTCCCTAATTCAAATTACTGTACAGGTAGTCCTTAACGTACAACAGTTCATTTAGTGACCATTTGAAGTTACAACAGCACTGAAAAAAGTGACTTATGACCATTTTTCATATTTATGACCATTGCAGCATCCCCGTGGTCATGTGATTTACATTTGGATATTTGACAACTGCTTCATATTTATGACGGTTGCAGTGTTCTGTGGTCACGTGAACACCTTCTGCAGCCTTCCGACAAGCCAGATTCATTTAACAACCGTGTTACTTAACAGCTGCAGTGATTCACTTAACTAAGTGTAGCAAGAAAAGATGCAAAAATGGGACAAAACTCACTTAACAAATTTCTCACTTAACAACATAAATTTTGGGCTCAATTGTGGTCATAAGTCAACTACTTGTAGTTTAACTGGTTTGGGGCTACCATTGTTCCTTGCGTGAACCAGAGCAACATTCCTACTTCATTTTCTTGCTTAGTAGCTGCTCTTACATTGAGATTCCCTTTGGCAAAAAGCTAATGACAGACTCTCTTGAGCTGAGTTCAGTTCTTAGTGACTTAGTAGACACCAATATTGTTGAAGTATAAATTACAGACTAAGGCATTACGGTCATAATACGTCTCTTTTTTAATTTAAATTATTTTGACACCCCCCGCCCCCCTTGCTGTGCAGGTTTCTTGTTCCAATCTCAAGTGTCATTTGCAATGATATTGCTGCTTATATATGTGGATTCTTCTTTGGCAGAACACCATTAATTAAGGTAAATACAAAGTTTGAAATATGCACATTGATTACAAGGTAGTTCAGAGAAAAAATTTAAACACTTCTAGTAATTTCTCACATTGCTTGATATCTGAGTGACATTGCCTCATCCAACCTTTATAGAAACCACCTCTGGTTTTGAGAAATAATTTATGATTTGAGAGGCATCCCTTATAAAGCTTTTTTAAATAAATAAATACATAAATAGTTTGTGCTTGTATTTCTAACAGATTATAATCTTGGTTTAACTAATATACAGTACATTCATATTATCTGGATAACACTATCTTCTGATTGTTATAATTCTACTGGATTGTGAATTGCTTGATCTATTCTATCCCTAGTTATTGTCTATGCCTGATTGTTTCATATTTCAGTGACAGAAAGTAGAAATAGAGTTGTTGCAGTGAGATTATGATTGTGTATAAAATACTAATTTTTGTAGGTGACCAGGATATGTATATTATAAAAAATATAAGCATCCTTATTTCTTACTGTTATTACTTACCATCCCATCCCCAAATTATGATTGCTAGAAAACTAAATCTTATTATCCTTAGAGATATCATTACTCAAATCATACAGTATAGTGGAGCTTAATAGTTTGTGAACCCTTTTGAATTTGCAATATTTCGACATAAATATAACTTAAAACATGATTTATTCTCCACACAAGTCTTAAAATTAGGTAAATTAAGCAAACAAATGAAAAAAACTTATACTTGTTTTTTATCATTTAGGAAAATGATCCAAAACTATATATTTGCCTTTGCTTTCAGTAATTGTGGGCCCACTTGGACAGTAGTAACTTCAACTGAACATTTCCAATAACTGTTGGTCAGAATTCAGAATTCAAAGTTCCAACAATGATGGCAAGCCATCATAGCCTAGAGGCAGCAAAGCAGGCCCAAAGTATGCCACCACCATATTTCATAGATGGAATAAGGTTCTTAAGCTGTGTTTGCTTTTTACTCAGGACAAAATTTCTATTTTGGTCTCATCTGTTCAAAGAACATTCTTCCAAGACAAAACTAAGGATTCCAATTTGTTTTATAGACAGTATATACTATTTTATTTATTTATTAAATTTCTGTGTCACCTATCTCACTGCCAAGTGACTGGACAGGTTAGAACATCATTAGATAAAACATGAAAATATTAAGATGTCAAACATTAAACATTATTAAAAATGTTTAGTAAACTAGGGTCCAATACACATATCAGATGGAGGTGAGATCTATTGAAAGATAATATAGATCGGAGATGACCAGGCTAAGTCTGAGGAAGAGGTCAAATGTGTCATCAGTCTCAAGTCTCCTCATGCCCAGTAGAGGTCTATGTCTAGCCCACCTTGAATTCTTTTCACTTTTATCTACCACCAACTTGTTTTGACCGTTAGTAGTTCAGATTTCTTATAGAGAGCTTACAATACAATAAATCTATATATTTAAAAAAACAAAAAACTGGCTGGACTCCTGATTTCCTGAGCTTGACAGATTGTTTCGCCTTTCATGGAATAAGTGACCTTTTGATGCAAGTATGTCTGAATTTTCATATTGTTTGGAAGGAACCTAGACAAAAGTAAATGAGTCAACATAGCAACGTTTGTCTCTTTTTTGTCAGAACAGAAAAGAGTCTTGTGCCATTTGCTGCTTTTTAATTTCTTATTTTCTCTTTTTGGTTAGCTCTCTCCCAAAAAGACCTGGGAAGGCTTCATTGGTGGCTTCTTTATCACAGTTATATTTGGATTTATTGTAAGTGGATGCAGTATCTTCCTTATTAATGTTATATTATTTGGTACTGGTATTGAAATTGGCATAAAGGACTAGAATTGCTGGTAATCTGTAGCATTAAACTAAGTTAAAATTTAATGCTCTACTCTTATTGAAGTTTATGAGTGGCAGATATTACAATGGTTGGTTATTAATATGCTATGTATATTAGCAACCATCTGTAATAACCATAATAAAAAAATCATTGTGGAAACTCAGAAGTAACACATCTAGCTGAACAGTATGTACATTATTTATAGGTATTTTTAAAGAGATGGCTCTTCGATGAATATTGTGAATATAAATAAGCTATATTATGAGCCACAGTGGCACAGTGGTTAGAGTGCAGTACCGCAGGCTATTTCTGCTGCCTGCCTGCTGCTTGCAATTTGGCAGTTTGAATCTCACCAGGCTCAAGGTTGACTCAGCCTTCCAGCCTTCCAAGGTGGGTAAAATGAGGACTCAAAATTGTTAGGAGGCAATAGGCTGACTCTAAACTGCTAAGAAAGGGCTGTGAAGCGGTATAGAACAGAACAGAACAGAATTTTTTATTGGCCAAGTGTGATTGGCCAAGGAATTTGTCAGTACAAATGCTCTCAGTATACATAAAAGAAAAGATACATTCGTCAAGTCATAGTGCTATTGCTAGTGCTATGATAAAGTACTATCTAATGTAACTATTAAAAGTTTCATTAAGATAATGAAACTTATAATAGATTCAAAACTCACCACTGCGGGGACATTTCAAAAAAAGCAGGCTGCAATATAGTAAGGACATTGAAATAATCTTAAAAATGTAAAGACCTTGTGTAGTTCAAACAGTTTCATAGCCAGTGGATCACTGTTAAAGCAGATTCAACTTTTTGCCAGCGACCCTAATTATTTTTACTGATTGGCATTAAGTCAGAAACCAAAAGCTTATCTTAAGCACATGGTTGGGATTATTACTTATACACTGATCTGCAATGATAGCGTTTTTCAGTAGTAACATAATTCAGTATAATTCATAGATGGATGATATGCATTGTCAGATCTTTAATACTGTTCTTGGTATTACCAAATGGAGTTCTGCAGCTATAAATAGGGATATAGAAGAACAGCTGGTTTTGAATAATAAACTGAATCCATCAGGTGTTCTTGCTGTTCCTGGGTGGCTCATGGAATAAGATTTATATTGTCCTAATTGGTACAAAGAACAATAGGAGAAAGTGAGTGATTTCCCTTGGTTGCAAGATTTATAGACCTTCTACCTGATATGAATCCTAAAAGGAGAGTTACTTTTAAAAAATGTGTTTGGACTTAGAAGGAGACAAGGCCTCTCCTTAGTCTCTAAACTTGCATTCAGTATTGCAAATGTGTGAGCATTTTGTTTACTTTTGGTAATAGTTTGGTAATAACAGTTCAGTAAAAGTTTGGTAATAATTAAAAGTTATCAAGGATAGCAAGTTTAGCCAGCTAGCCTAGCCAGTTTGTGTCCCTTCCTTCCAAGCTTTCTTTCCGGCCACCATTTACCTAATTTCAGAGGATATAAAGGCTTAGTGGAGGATTGGAGAAGCTCCTAATTGCACCCCAACTCTACAGGAAGCCCTTAATCAACAACAACTAAAGATATCCTTTCAGGTTGCTCATCTTTTGGCACAGTACCAGTACTTTGTATGTCCTGTGGAATACAACAGTGAAACTAACAGGTTTGTCACAGAATGTGAACCATCAGAACTTTTCCAGCTAAAGAAGTACTCCTTACCACCATTGCTTCAAGTTATTCTGAGAAAGGTATGTAAAAACTAAATCTTAAAGAATTAAGAATTAAATAATTAAAATTAAAACATTGAGAAAATTGGATACAAAAAGGGCTAAAGTATCCAAAATGCCCATCTCTCCTTCCGGTTAGTTTGTTAGAACAAATAAAATAACAACGCTGGGAATAAGCATTTCACCCTGTTTCCCACAGGTACAAGAATATATCACAAAGAAAATCACTGTTAAATTTCTCTTTTATGAAGAAAAGTGCAGTGGCTTAGAGGTTAAAGACAGTGAGGTGGTCACCTGGAAAGCTTTCAGTCTGGGTTCAAGACCCGAGGGCCATGCAACGTGATAAGCACCCGTTACTTTTGCCCACTTAGCAGTTTGAAAGCATGCAAATGTGAGTAGATAAATAGGGACCACTTCAGTGGGAAGGTGTTCTGTGTGCCTCGGCATATAGTCTTTCTGACCACATGACCGCTGAAGTGTCTTCAGACAACACTGGCTCTCTTGGCTAAGAAATGGAGATGAGCCCCCCTCCCCAGAGTTGGACATGACTGAACTATTTACCTTTACTTTTTCTTTTCTTTTATGACACTTCTGTACCCTTGGCAAAAGGTCATTTGACCCACTATGGCAGAAAAGGCAGAAAGAAAGTTCCATTTTGCACTTGGATAGCGAGTTGTGAAACAAACCTATTGTGTGGATTGTCCTCTGGGGTTAGGAAGGACTTTCAACTACCTTGAGAACTTCCTTGCAACTAGAATGCCCAATTATGTGCCTTTTATTTAAATAGCAAAATTTAATTCTGGTACGAGGGCCAGATTATGCACATCTCTCTTCTGCTGGACAGAGCTTCAGTTACTTTGCTAGGTTCTATAATTGTTTATATGAACTTGATGATGCTGATGAGGAAGAAACTAATCCTTCAGCAACATGGTTTGGGTGAAATCATACTCTCTTCTGGCCTAAGTTAGCCTTAAATGAGGATTCATTTTTACCTTTTTCATAAAGAAGAAAAGAATCATATGAACTTCTCTGGATGATATAGCTCCAACCTTTACTCCAACTTACTGTGGCTGCCAAGGTTATTTCCTGTTTGTACAATTGTTAATTTTGCTTGAAAGCTTTTAATCCTTGAATATGCTAAATTTAGGACTAATTTTTCTCTGTTAATGTCAAATAAATGCTGATTAAAACTAATGATTACGTCTTATTGCAGGAAACGGTGACATTGTACCCATTCCAGATGCACAGCGTTGCATTGTCAACATTTGCATCTTTAATTGGGCCATTTGGAGGTTTTTTTGCTAGTGGATTCAAAAGAGCTTTCAAAATCAAGGTGAGTGCATAACCTATGGTGGCTTTTTGTAAGCACAACATTGTAAAAAATGTTTTTTCAGTTGCTAAAGATAATAGACTATTATTAATGGACTACTACAGTGATAATTAACTTTCAACTCAGTAGTTTAAAAGATAGCAACAATGAAATCTCATAATGTTTAATGATTTAAGGGGAAGAGGATGTCTTGCATTCACAAATGTCTGTTCAATACAAAAGCATGCAAACATAGCAATTTATGTAATTTGGGTAATGAGATCATTATGCAAATTAAGTCACTTGTATCAATTTATGCCTTTTGTGTGACGGCCTCATTATGCAAATGACATAAATTGATACAAAATAATGTAATTTGCATAAAAACTTCATTATACAAATAACACAAGTCAATCCAAAATAATGTCATTTGTATATCATTATGCAAATGACAACATTGATACAAATTATGTAATTTTCATAGTGACATCATCACACTTTATTTTTGCAAATTCCCCATTGGAATTCTATGCATTGTCCATTCTACTGTGATCTGTCAGATCAGAATTTCACTGCGAGAACATTCAATTGGTTGACAGTCCTACTAAACAGTTCTAACTCTGGATCCTGGGCCATATAGTCCAATACTTAATATAATGACGTCCTTTTCTCTTTAAGGATTTTGCTGACACTATTCCTGGCCACGGTGGAATAATGGATCGTTTTGATTGTCAGTACTTGATGGCTACTTTTGTACACGTCTATATTACCAGTTTCATAAGGTATGTTTCTGTAAGGTGTCATTTTAGAGTTGGTTGGAAAACATACAAATGCTTTTGAGCCAACCTTGTCTCTCAAATGCTGTGTCAAAGTGGTGTTGAGAGCAAAGAGGCCAATTTAGCCATTCCTTTGGACTCCAAAATGGGTGAGGTAAATTACAACTAGGAAGCTGCACATGGTTTCCCAGCACCCCATTTCTGCACCCGATGGATCTTCCGAGAATGGGGTGCTGAACCTCAATCAAACGGCCAGGCTTTGGAGAGAGCCCTCTGGGAAGCAAACTCTTTAATTCTCTTCTATAACCCCAAGGCCAGGAAACCTGAAAAAAAAACAGCCTGCAATTAGGCTAGTGAATTTCAGCCATTTCCCCCCAGGAGAAACTGGCAATGTGTTTGGAAATGGAAGTAGTTTATCTTCTAACCAAACAGAGCCATTTCTGTCCTCTGATTCAGCTGCCTGCTTGCTTCCCGACAATCTGCGTGTTGCCCCACTGTGGGAGCTACACTGTTAGCAGTATGTTCTGATTACTGTTCGCTATTTATAAAGGGCTGTATAGTTTTATAATTGGCCCCGTCAATTCTTCTCATCCTCAAAAGTTCCTCACTCTCTGCTCTTAAAAATAATAATACCTTAATCATTTGAACTGAAATAAAGATGTATCACAAAAATCAATCTTCTTAGAGGAATGGCATATGGCCGCATTGAGACTATTTAATTTAAAGTCCAGGTTTTGCAATTGTAGACATGCAAGCTGTGGGCCTGCGCCCCGGAGACGCAGCCAACAGCGCAAAGTGGCATTCAGTGATCCAAAAAGTGGACCCTGCATCTGCAGGAATATGCTAGGAAGAAGAAAAAGAAGAGGTCTTGCAATTGTATAGAATCACAAGTTCTGCTAAGGAAAGCTCAGCATTCTTTTGCAAAAGATGCTGCGTCAAACTTTTTATGAGTTCCTGAATATGTCAGCAATTATAAACAGAGATGGCCCAGTAGCGTTTGCCTATGAGATGATATCTAAGAAAGACACAGAGAAGATACATCGTTTTTGAGTTCAGCATCAGGCTAAAATTAGAAAGAATAGATATTGCAGTGCAAGCAATTTCTCCATGTCATAGAATTTTGCATTACCTCTAAATAAGTCAGGATTGCCCTGGTATATAATAAAAATCACTTATTTTCATCTGCCTTGAACATTATGTAAAATATTCAGCAAAAGTCCTGGGTCCCACTTCTTATCTTCCTTGTCACCTGACATCATTATTCTGATGGTATTTGAAACAGGGAAGCAAAGCAGAGATGAATTAGGGCAGAATTGAGAAATTCAGAGCCACGATGGCAAAGCAGGCAGCACTGCTTACTTCCTCTCATGCGGAATTTCTATTAGTGTTCGGTCAGTCATGCCAGAGGTCAGCTATTTATGCTCTAGATGGCAAATTCTCTAGTTATCTAATAGCGAATTTCCCTGGCAGCTTTTTATAATGAAAAAGTAGGCTCGCTATTGTTAGAGGAAGCACTTTGTGTTCCTGGAGAACAGGATCCGACCTGAGTAAGGATTACAGAAGCCAAGTTTTGTAATCTAAACAGAAAGACTTGTTTACAGGAAGTCCAAGAGGTAGTCAGAAAAGCCTAACGCTTAGCTAGTTCTGTCTCACCAGGAGTCTAGTCCAGAGGAGAGCTCTCATGGGTGCATGCCTAGAAAACAAAGGGAGGCAGGAAGGAAGGAACCCTGAGATTAACAATCAAAGCAACAAAGAGCAGGAAGGATTAGAGCTACAGATGAAACGCAGGATTTACGGTTAACGGATTGTTCCCCTGCTACCCCTTGTGACCAGTATGAAGTGCTAAGAGACAGCACACCTGAAATCACCTCGTCAGCATTGATGGTCGGTTGGAATTTGGCTCTTTTGCTTCTGTCCCTCGCAAAAGTGTTTTTAGTGCTTATTTTGCTTCCAGCGCACACTGCTAAGGACAAAAACGTTAAACAAAAAATATTGAATGAAAAGCCCAGGCTTGATTTTGCAATATACTCTACATGGGGCTGTTCTTGAAGACTACTCAAAAGGTTTAACTAGTTCAGAATGTACCAATGTAAGCCGTGTTCAGGAACAGAGGGCATTACCTCCTCTGCTTACCCGGCTCCACAGGTTGGCAGTTGCTTGGGGGGAGGGGAATTCAAGGTTCTGGTTGTGATCTATCAAGTCCTACGTGGCATGGGGTCAGCTACTTGAGGATCCTAGCATCTGCCTGGTGGCTTTGTTCCGACAGAGTTGCTGTGCTCTGGATCCCTTCAATTAGAAAGGGCCCTATATTGGGACTTGAGAAGCACAGCTCCTGTGTTACAGCACCTGCCCTCTGGAACAAAGTTACCAAGATCCTACTGGTATTTTGGGGTGCTTTGAAGACCAGATTCTTCACCAGGCCTTTGGTAAGAAAGGGCGTGGATCCTTCTGAGGAAGGAGCATGTTTCGCTGGTGCCTATAGTTTCACCATCTTTGCTTTTGGGGGTTTCTTTTTTATTGCTGTATTGTTTTATAATTGATATACAACTTAAACAAATAGAAATGTGGCACTGTGGATTGAAATGTTGTCTTCTTAAATGTAATCACCAGAGGCCCGAATCCCAGCAAATTGCTGAAACAGCTGTTGGTACTCCAGCCAGAGGAGCAATTAAACATTTATAAAACTTTGAAATCACACCTCATTGAGAAAGGATTCCTCCAACCATCACTGAGAGGCTAGGAGGACTGGACGAGGGACTACAAAGTGAAGCCCAGCCGGGAATGCAATTATGCTTCTGCGGAGAGAGGTGTGTGGGAATCAAGCCAGCCTGTGTCCAAAGATATGACTGTTTACGGGGAATACTGTGAACGCCCAGGATGCCATGCAAGATTTTAAGTTTCTTTTTAACAACTGCATGTTTTTCAAATAATTTATATTCTTGAATTAATGGAATGAGACTTCTTGCTTTGGTTTTAACTGTTCTGTTCTGAGCAACATGCACCTACTCCTAGTAAATAAAAGTTAAAGAAACAATTAGGGTATGCAGTTTATTTTAAAAAAGCCCCTCATTTAGTGCAATGGTATTAATATCAATGACACCAGCTCAGTGAATGGTATTCTGTAGGACAGTGTTGGTAGCTCAATTATTTGATAATATAACTAAAGTAATAACCAAATGGCAATTGAAGCTGTTTTGCTAGAGTGCTTCCTTTCCGCCATCCCCACCAAAGCCAGGAAATGGGCAAATTTGTATCTTTTTTTTTTTTTTTTTTGAGTTTCTCAGGTTGACTGTGTTTGTAATGAAAAACAAAACAAAACCCCAATGGGTATGTATTGGGGAGAGATGGCTGGAGTGGAAAGGGTACAGGGACTGGAAGTGACAATTGGATGCCTCTTAACAGAATTGTAGGGGTCTAGTTACACAAAGGATGGCCTGCATTTTCCCAGGCAAGTTCCATTCAGAGCTTTTGAGCGGGTTACAAGAAACGGGTCTCCAAACGTTCAGATGTGTTAAGGTTAATTGTTCTGTGTCTTTTATGGTAAGTGCAATAGAAGTGCTCTTGGCAATTTCAGGAAGTCCAGAGGCTCGATCCAATGTGGTTTTCTACCTTTATGGGAGGATTTGTGTATCCATCACCTTAACCTGGAAGGCCTTGGCCTATCACATTGGAGTCTTCGAGCCCACATCACCTGCTCTGTCTGAAGAGCAACACTGAGATGTGCCCAATTTTATCCAGACTTTTCTTGAGCCTTGCCTAAATTGTCACATTTTAAAGAGTTCCTCAGTTTCTTCAGTTCTTCTGCATGGTTTCTTTTATCATGTCCTAATCCCAAAACCTTATTTTTAAATTCAAATAACAGTAAGGGGAAAGCCAAAAACCATGGTATGAATGTGACTGACCAAATAGGATTTAAGGCATCAACAACTGCAGTCTCTACAGACTTCCTTTGCTATGCAAATGAAAGGGAGCAACCCAAAAGCTCAGTTCATTTAATTGGATTGGGCAAGATAACTTATAGAGGATTGTTCCCTACAAATTTAATTTGAATGTTAATTTTCTTTGCAGTGAGCATTCAAGACTTATTTTTGTAGGATTTTAAGGCAGCCGGCTTAACCCGTTTTTGTCCTGCTTTGCTTACCTTTTTAAAGCAGTTTTGTGGAATCACCTATCCATCTTTGACTTCCGAAATAATGAAGCATGTATGTTTGATTTTCAGCAATAGTAGATTATTCCAGACAAGGCAGAAAACCAATAGGTTCAGTCTAATGTTATCAACTGAAACAGCTGCAAATGAGGAATCTTGCCAATATTTAAACACTGGGAATTCCTTGCAACATTTCTTTAGTAATAGGGAAGCAGCAGTAGCGTTTGTCTTGTCTGTATTGCTCCATTATTAGCAAAAGCTGGTTTATAATACAGGATTTACTGGAGGTTTTCCCTCCCCTTCAGCCATTGTCTTTGGCCCTCCTAGTACTTGCAGCAGTTGTGATCTTTTTGGCTCACAAAAAGAGTCCGGATTCAGAGTCTTTGCTTAAAGACACATTTGTCATACTGAGAAATCTGTATGGAACTGGAGTTCTCTGAACATATCCATTGTTCAGTCCACTTACACCCTTTTTCTTTTCAATGGTGATGGTTGTAAGACCAGGCACCAGACATCTTCAGATGATAGTGGTGTAGAAGAGCCCACCATGCTAGTCTTTTAGTCAAGCAGTGCCAGAGGTAGATCACAAGATCTGCTGTAGCCTTTGGGATGAGGCTACACAGCCACTCATATCTGAAACCTGCCTGGGTAGGTGCCATTTCTTCAGGTTGCATAAAAGACTTGTTTGGCCGGGATTATACACAATGAATCCCACGTCTTCCTTTTATGTTCAGCGAGGTGGGGTGGAAGAAGGATTTTAAGTGGGACTCCTGCGTAGATAAAACCTTAGATTTCTAAAGTGATACTACCAACTTTCATGCGAAACAAATAGGATAGAACCCAACGGATATGGGCGTTTAAGGAGAAAAAAAAGAGGGCAATAAAGACCATACCTAACGAGATGCTGGCATCGGGTTTAAAGATTAGTAGGAATATTTGCACTGAACATGCTAGTCATTGTATGTCTAGAAAAATAAGACTTAAAAAAATTTCTTTAGAAAACATGCTACTTACTCCATCTTGATGGTGAATCGTAAAAATATGTAATGTTTGGTTTTAATATAACATTGTAACTTTTGGGGTTATGTTTGTGTAATTTTTAAATATTTTTTTAAAATTTAAATTTGTATTTAAGCAACTGAATGTAAATGAATTAAAGCAGTCAGCTTTGTTTGCACTAATAAGGGATACCACTATATAATGCTGCTATTCCTTCAACTGAAAAAGCCTTCTTGATAATGTTAGTCGCACTCCAGCATCGTCATATGTTTTAAATAAAACACTTTTGGGTGACAATCTAAGATTAATCTAATAAACTGCTGCAAAAATATTTCAGAAGGTGTTTACTATATATGTACTCATGCATATATAAGCAGTGCCAATAAGCAGTTCACAAAGAATAAGAGTTTTGCTTTGTAGGTTTAGTGAAAGCACCTGGAAAAGTAAATATCCAAATCATATTGGCTGAATTAGATTGTGTACTGGATGTCTTTTTAAGAATACAACTTTAGGTTTTTCTTTCCGTTGTATACAATAAAAGTTTTCAACAACCTCAGTTCTAACAGTGTGGTCCAAAGGAAACTCTTCGCTTATATCTGTCTTTTAATTTGCATTTTTCAGTAAAACACTTCCACTTGCTTAGCGAAATTGTGCATACTGTAAATGTTTGAACATTAGATGTGTGTTGACCATTTTGTAGAACTGAGCTGGAGAAAATAAAGCTCTGCTGAAAAAAAAACCCCAGCATTGTGAGGTTTCTTTGTATGTGAAGTGTTTACAGATTGCAGTCAATCCCCAAGTTCTCCTTTAATTCCTCAAGAAGCTTTAGTGATGCTTCTACCTGTATTTGGTCACTAGTAAGCCTGTGGAAAAGTGATTTTGTTAAAATCCAGTTTTGATATTTAATGGCCAGGAACACACAATATAAACTTGGTTAGCAAGTACTGTACTTACGTTCCCAAATAAACTATTTTGAAGTAATGGTCCAATTCAAGTAATATGCTACAAGTTACAGAGGCACAAGCTACCGTTCCAATCCAACCTCATGCAGGCCTAATTTTGTAGAGCGGGTCCCCCCCCCCCCCGCTTCAATTAACAGACCTCTTTAACTAGAAAGGGGACATAATGCAACATGACTTGTTTATTCTAGAACTTGATTGGAATGCATGGGGGGGGGGGGGGGGGAGTTTTACAAAAAATTCTCTTCATTCACTTACGATCCAAAATGTCCTGAAAGGAAAAAAAAATACAGTGCTGTTTGCAGGCGTTGAAGACTGTTTCAAAGTGAATGAAAATATTTCCCACGTCCTGTCATGACACGTGGAACTGTGTGTCAAGAACTTAATTTAGCCAAGTAGCCAGGTCATTTAAAAAAGTCTTACGAATTTGCTTGTGAGGTAAGCAACTTAGGAAAAGTGCCAGAAAACGATCACAGAAAAAGTTAGATTCTTTCCTAGCTTCTCAATTGGGTTGCCCATGGTTACAAAGCTGTAGGGCTTAGAAGAGAGATGCCTCTACCCACAAAACACCTATTATTTCTGAGGGCAATTAAAGGCACGCTGGGAGGCTTCAATTTGTTTGCTGCATAGATGAGTATGTTTAAGATAATGGATAGCTCCAGTTTCTAGTTAATGGGAATCCTACTGTGATTCCATTTCATAAGTTTTCACTTAACTATGCCATATATATATATATATTTATACAGATTTGGAAGAGACATCAAGCACAGATGCAGATTAAAAGGAGTATTGTATGCTAAAAAGTTCTATGTAAATTCAAGGACATATAATAGTTCTTCACGCTTCCTTTTCGTGCTACTATAGCACAATATATAAACTTCAGCATCTTAAATGCCATGGTTTTTATTATTGGATGGTGCAAGCGTCTGGAAAGCTCACTTTTCATTCAAAATTGAACAGTCCTATATTCTTAATCGCTACAGCAACTCGGATCAGAACAATTCAGTGCTTTCTATTAGCTTCTTAGTTTGCGCTGGATAAACATTCCAGCTACTTTGATTTTGGGGTGGGTTCAGTTTGACTTGGCTGGAAACTGAATTCTTGGTGCACACTCCTTGTCCAACAGTTTAAAAATAGATGTTTCCAAAGCTGGTTATACAATTTTTCAAAGAGATCTGGACAGAAAAACTTGGTGGTAAATAGTATTTATTTGAAATTAAAAACAAAAAAGGTACCTGAACTATTGCATTTAATCATGTATTGTATTTGTGTTACTCTACCTTTTTGCATTGGAGACAAATATACAATAAAACATTCAGATACCACAGATTGCACACTAGATAGTAATTCTTCAGGCCTTTTACATAACCACCAAAAACAGATATTGGATTCTTCAATATAGTACAAAAATCCACCCCTCCAGTCCTAGCCAGTTATCTTCAATTTACTCCTGTTTGCTGTACAGATCAATGGCCATTTACCCCAAAGGCTTACAAATTAATAACAGGACAAAAAAATATACATTATACTGACACAAAAAGTCAGTTGTGTTAAGTCATGCAACAAGTAACCAAACTTGCTGAAATTAAAAATATTTTCTAAAAACAGTTTTAACTGCATAAATATTTTTTTTTTTAATACACAGTTCATTTACCAAAACCAAAGGAGTCTGGAACGAAGCAAAACAAAAAAATTCCCTACTAATTTTTATACATAAGAAAGTGCAAAATAATGTCTCTAAAAAAAGTCTTTTGCTCTTGGACTGGCAGATGACGGGATGGGACTGCCACTCTGACCTTCTTAAGCATGAACTCTACAGTCACATGTCACAAACAGAGAGTGTATGGATACCACGTCAAAGAACAGGGCGGGATGAGGCGAGCTGCTTGGCGGTGCAAAGGGAGGCTAGGCTGCTGCTGAACCATCGTTCAGTTACCAAAAAAACAAAAACAAATTGCAACTGGAGGAAAAATAAGCGCCCCTGTTGGTGTCGAGACCAGAGATGCTCGATCCAATCTCAGCATCTTCAAAGAGCGTGGACTTCTCAACTTTCAGAATTCCCCAGCTGTGGAATTCTGGAAACTGAAGTCCACACAGCTTCAAGGTGCTGAGTTGAGAAACCTTGGGCTACACCATTTATGATAAACATTTATGGGACTGGGGGGAAAAAAGCATTCTGAATTATAGTAGCAGCTGACAGGAGCTGTCGAGACTTCACTACCCCAATGAATTGTATTGCTCGGTATCCATTTATTCCAGTGGGGCTTCAAAGTAGGAACGGATGGTGCCGCACCATTTCTTGGTGCAGAATAACCCCACGTTTTCCTCTCATCAACAGGATGCAACTTCGCAGTTTACCCCTTGGAGTAGATAAATAAGGATGGAAATCTGGAAGATTTCATCCCCAGTCAAGTAGCTTTAAACTTTAAATACAAGTAAATACATTTTAAAGTCACCTTCCTCCGAAAACACCAAATGTAAAAAGTGTAGAATAACACCAGTACAATAGGTCGACGTACTCAAAATTAGGAGAATAAAAAAAACCAAACAAACAGTAAACTGCTTCTAATGAGCCAGCATTAGTGTCTACGATGTTAGTGCCATCCAGTGCTTAGAATTTTATCAGGAGGAATTAATTGAGAGTTGAAAAAAATAATTCTCAAGCTGAAAAGAGACAACCTTCAGATTAAGAAATTCCAAGTTAAGTTTAGTTATTCTCTAACTGGGGAAGGGGGACAATTTTCAGTGGAGTGAAGAAGACTGAGAGAATTTCAACGTGCTTTTCTTTCTTATGGACATTGTATTTGTACTTTAGAAATGTCTGTTGTTAGGCTGAGTTTAAGGACCACATAAGCAGCATCCTGCCTATGATTACAGAGTCTGTGTTATTCTCGCATAACCTCAATAGTTGGAGATTCTACTTTAAAAAAAAAAAATTGAGAAACTTTGCAGATATCAAAATTGGCAGCACTGAACAATATAGCTGATCAATGCTGGTTGTAACAAAAAACACCCAGTGGGCAAAACCAACTTTCATAAACCCTTGTGTGCTCATGTGTGGAAGGGGCTCTTTCGGGGGCCTGAAATACGTTTATTATAACCACAATTAAGTCAGTCCATCATGACGATTAAAAAGATCCTCAACATACATACTAATCACTGCATTGATTTCTAACCAGGGATGTTTAGGCAGAGAAAATTGCTCTGTGCAAACTATTCAAATTATTTTAAATTCATTCGTGTTAACAAATCACAATGTTTATGTTGTCCTACATTTGATTTCATTTCTTGGTGTGCCACACTGTTTCCGAGTTACTTTTTAAAAAACTGCTGTCTTACCATATTTAAAAGGCAAGTAACAATAATCTCATCCCCCATTAACAAAAGAAAGAGGAAGGAAGGAAAAATAAAACCAGTACATTGGGGGGGTGAGGATACAACTACATTTCAAAGCCTCACTTCACTGAGATGTTTGATTGGATTTATTTATTTTTATTTTTCATTGTACCATGAAGGCTAATATATAAAATAGTTGAATTTATGTCCTCCGAGTAAACCAATGAATGATGACACTGGGGTGCAACATCAGGTCCAACCCCTAAGTAAAGGAGCAAGTCTGATTTTAATTTAGAAATTCACTGGGACTCCTCTAAGCATTTCCCAGTTGTAAGGACAAAGTCTCCAAGTCCACTTTGCAAAACAAAAACAAGAACAGGAACACGAGAAAAACAATGGTCCATTGGTTTCCTTTGGAAAAAACAAAACAAAAAGTATTAAATCTGATTTTCATGCAAGCCATTTACTAGTGTTTTAAGTAAGACTTGCCTTAGACCTATCTGGATTAGCGGATTACTTACAATGATAAAGAAGGAGCAAGCAGCAAGGCCCGTGGGTGTATAAAAACAGACCTTATTTAAATATGAAGACAGATTCTAAATAGATGTATTAAAAACGCAACAGAAAGGGGGGCCTTTTTGGTTATCTTACAGTTTAGAATAAAATATTTGAAGTCCGATGCCCCAAAACAAAAGGATGGTTTTCCCTTTCCCTCCCCCCCATCTTCAAAATAGCTTGGCTTAAGTTAAGATCATGAGAGTAACTGAAAGAACCATGCAGTTGGAATAGTAAAAAGGAAAAAAAAAAAAAAGATAATGCCTCTTGATGCTTTTTCTTTTTTCATTTCATTTTGTTTTTCTTTTCTTTTTTTTTAAATCATGTTTAAATAGATGAGCTAAAGAAGAGATGCAAAGTATAGTGGTCTGAAGTCCCATGTAACAGGCAGTTCAGTTTGCATTTTTGATAAAAAGGCCATTTTCTCTATTTACAATATCCACAGTTTGCTTGTGAAGAAGGCAAATTTACAACTATTTTTGTTTTTCTAAAAAGCCTTCTGCTTCTGGCGACCCAAATAAAGGGGGGACTAACTACAAAATCAAGATGGAACAAGAGATGGTTAATGAGGTCTCTTCTTAGCAGAGAAGACAGAAGGGGCCTGGAAGGTCCTTGACGCAGCTGTGGCGGTTATTACGCCCTCCCCGCCAGAACTTAGTTGACGTATTCTGGCCTCCATCTCTGCAAAGGTACCCAAAAAATAATTAATGGTCCCTCTTGCTTGCAGTCCTCGCGTAGGAAGGAATGGCAAAGGCTGCAACCTGTTCGAATGGGCTGCTCATTCCTGGAATTCATCCGGTCGGCTGGGTTCCTGCAGGCCCTGAAGTATGTAGTCTGGGTTGCTGTTGTTCCTCTGGACAGTGTTAATTCCAGGATGCCTCCTCCGGGCCTCGCTCGTGCTGCAAATTGTAATAACAGTTCTGGCAAACCCGAACCGGGGAGGAGATTTTCAACCGCTTGATTTCGGACTGAAAACGGCTGCACCTGCAGAAAGAAATGTAGGGTTAAGAACTGAATCCGCCCCCTCTTCCTTCTTTAGCATCAGATTCCTGTTCAACGCAAAACTCTTATTGTCTTATTGTAAAGCTGGGTCAGTTGTGCTACACAACTTGTGTCAAGGGATGGGGGTGGAGGTGGGGAGTTGGAAGATGCACTCTAGCCTTTGAATGCTGTAGAACAGGGGTCTCCAACCTTGGCGACTTTAAGACTTGTGGACTTCAACTCCCAGAGTTCCTCAGCCAGCAAAGCTTGGAGACCCCTGCTGTAGAACATAGAATAATAGAGTTGGAAGGGACCTTGGAGGTCTTCTAGTCTGACCCCCTGCTTGAGCTGGAGACCCTATACCCGTGATGGCGAACCTAAGGCACGCGTGCCCAAAGTGCCACGCGAAGCCATGTCGCCTGGGACGTGTGGCCTTGCCTGTTTGTCTTCTGGGTTTCTGGTGTGTATGCGCACCAGTGACAATCGGCTGTCCTTCGTTCGCATGCCAGTGCCAAAACCTGGTGTGCGCATGCACGCCGGCCAGCTGATTGTTGGGTGCGCATGTGCGTCAGAATCCAGAAGTTCAGCTTTTCCGGAACGCAATCCCTTTGTGCACGAGCTACAGATAGTCTCCTTTATTGACAAGTGAAGGTAAAAGGGCCACGAATCCTTTCAAGTGGAAAGCGCACTTGCCCAATTTGTTCCTAGACCCAATGAAGGTTTTTGAAGACGAAGCTTGCCCGAGAATCGTTTGGTTACAGAGATGCGGAGCCCTTAAAAGTGGCCCTTCTTACTTCTGGCAGAAGAGTTGTCCACAGTTCCTACAATGGTGACGTCTTTCGGTAAGAGAGAACCGGACCGAGCAGCTGGAGCAGCTGTCTCCTCCCTCGTCTTTCACCCAGTGGTCAGCTGCAGAGCGGCCCGGTTGGTCACTCACAGACCAGCTGAACACTCGGCCTCGGCTGTCCCCTACCAGAATCCTGCTGTGATCCCTGGAGGAAACAAATATGCATTAGCTTCCAGTCAAAAACCTGTGGATGAAGAGAACGCAATCCAGCAGGGTGAAACGAAACCCCAGGTCCATCTTCTATCGTCTCTCCATTATAGGCAATCTTTGACTTACGACTGCAATTGGAACGGGAACTTTCTGACGCTAAGCAGGATGGTCGTTAAGTGAGTAAATAAGCCCAATTTTAGGAAGATTTCTTTGGTCATGAGATCAAAATTTGGGCGCTTGGCAACCACCATGTATTTATAATGGTCCCAGGGTTAAGTGATTATCATTGACTACCTTCCCAGGCAGCTTATGACAAGCAAAATTGGGGGGGCGGGGGGGGGAGCAGGATTTGCTTAACAACCATGTGATTCACTTCAGAACTGCAAAAAACGGTAGTAACATTGGGTGTGACTTACTTAACAACTGCCTTGCTTAGCAGAACTGGTCCCAGTTGTGATCGTAATAAATACATACGTAACAAAAATAAAATGCATACTTTATTCCTAAAGTTCTTTCAGAGCCCCTGAAGGACACTTTTCAATGAAAAGGGTTTTTTGCTATTTCATGAACATTTTATATTTTGCAAAATATTTTGGAGGCCCCGCTTTCTTTTGATGCCTCTTATACATCAGCCTACCAAATGTTGTCAGCATGCAAGTAGGACCCAGTGGGATGGGTCAGCCTTGTGTTCTCAGCAATGAAGGTGGCTTAATTTAACTATCTCAGCTAGTGGCCTCTTTGTGATGAATCAATCTAATGCCATTTTCAGCCAGGTGACAGCAGAAGGGACTTTTTTTTGGGGGGGGGGGGGGGGGTTCCCTTCCTATTTTGCTTCGGGGGATGTGAAGCCTCAGCGCCCTACTAAAGCTTCCTGCTGCATTTGGAAGAATTATGCGCAAGGGATGAAGGAGAGGGCAACCTACTTACTTGGAAATGGCCAGCGCTGTAATTTCTGCAGGGTGTGCATTGTCCTTGCGATCAAAGGCCGTGTGCATAGTTAATTTGCTCCTGAACACAAGCTGCCTCTCCCATCTGTAGCCTAAAAATAGATGTAGGTGATAAGGTAAGCATACGCAGAAGGGAGGCAAGTGAGAAACTGCTGATCCATGACTTCTTCAGAAAGAAAATTCAACACTCGATTGGAAGCAGAGGTGGAATATTTACAGAGGTGGAAAATTCAACACTCGATTTCTGTCAGGCCACGGAGCAGCCGGCCCCTTTTTTCAGAACATGACACAGGGCTAAGAGGGAGAAAAGGGTACCAATCCCTAACATGGGTGGACAAGAGAACAGAAACTCTCTATCCCAGTGTTGATGAAGATTCCCAGTCATCCAGAGTTATCTGGAAGTTGATTCATGGCAACTGAACTTACTTTTCTTTTTGGTTTGAAACGTTTTGCTGCTCCGGACTGTTGGAAGAAATATCCTTCTGGGTTTAGTTCCAAGCGGGGAGAAAGACATTAGAAACATGGAGGCTGATTGGAAACATGGTTTATTGGTGGACAGGAGCACATGGGTTTGAAGTCCTGGGTAGCTGACACATGGAGTTGAGAGAGAGGTATTTATACCCTCTCTTGGGCCTTGCCGCCCTTGAGCTTCCTGTTCCTGTGCAAGAACATGTGTTCTATCAGCTATATACAGACTCCGATGTGGAGTCATATGTTTGTCTGAATCAAGTTTGGTTGAGCCTTGGTCTGATGTAATGTCCCCAGGTGATTTCGCAATGCAGTGAGCCCTGCTGCTAGATGGGTAGAGGGCTAGTCCTATTATGTCCTGAGGGTCATGTCTTAATCCCACCACCCTGCAGCTGAAGGTCTAATTGTCTGGTAGATGGGCTGATCCAGGTGCCAGGGAGCTGATCTTTGTCTTTAAAAACACGTTTCTCCTTTTCTCATCCGGGGAAATATAACATTCTGCCTTTTTAATATTTCCTAGAATATTTCATTCTTCTAGGAGAGGGGTGGGCGCTAACTTTCTACAGGACTAAGAAGGTGCTGGGATAAGCAGCAAAACTTTTCAAAGCAAAAAAGAAAGAACTCCAGTTGCCAGGATTCAGGTTTCAGGTCTGCCTCGAATGTCTTCTTCTAATATAGAACGGGCATTTGTGACAATCCTGATAATCCCCTCTTAGCTTGCAGGAGATGTTATGTTTTCGTTGACAGCTATCCTGGATCAACATAGGCATTTCAATGCCTTTGAAAATGCGGGACTTCCGGTTTGAGCTTCTTCGGCGACAGACCGAAACCTCGTCTCTCCGAGGCTTCGATCCGTGCTCGCCGCTGGAGCGCCCCGAGCCGGCTGGTTTCGGGGCTAAGCCACCCCGTAGAGGTGGTGAAAAGTGGGGAGACTGCCTGCAGGGTTGAGGAGAGCCGCATCTCTCCTCCCCAGCTGGCCATTACTCCCTTTCCCGAAGGCGGTTGTAGCGGTGATCAGAAATGGCCACCACAAAGAAGAACTCGACCGGAAAAGAATGTGCAGGAGGAAGATAAGAAGAGAAAGTTTTGGTTGAGCGGGTCAAACAGCAAAAGCAACAAATAAGGTACCCTGGAATTCAAACTTAACAACATTGTTCCCAAAGAAGATTTTGAAGCTTCCCTTCCTTATACTGACAGCTAAGAGACTTAAGCAAGAAACTGAAAAAAAAAATCCACTTTGACATTAATAGGCATCTAAGCTGAAAATAAAAGTCAAAGGGATAAATAAAGATTTCTGGACATTTAAAAGTTTTTAAAAGCTGGAAAGGAGAAAAAAAAAAAGAATAGAAGGGCAGGATCTGGAAAAATGGAGGAGACTGCCTGGAATTAAGGAATGGGACTGTAATTAAAAGGAACTTACAGTGAAATTTTAACAAGATTCCTCAAAGATACATTTTAATGGAAACTTGGTAACAAAATAATAGAACCCCAGGAAGAGAAAGTGGAAAAAAGAAGCAAGTAGAAACAGCCTTGGATTATTTGGATTACTTGGTGATTTTTGGTTTTTGCATCTAGATGACTAAAATTAACCGGGTGGTTGTTTAAAAGTTTTAAAAATGGTACTCTTAGAAGAACTGAAAACGGAACTTAAAAAATGGAAAGAAGACGCACAAGAAGGGAGAAGTTCTTTTGGCTTCGTGTTTCAATTCTTAGAAATGGAGATCTGGAAGTATGAGAAGCAACAAGAAACGCTTGCAGAACAAGAAGATTGGGACAAAGAAGAAGCCATCTTTAATGATCAAATAATTTTAAGTGGGGGGAAAAAAGAAAAGGGGGGAAAGAGAGTGAAAGGTTTAAGATTAGAAAAAACAACCAAAAAGAAGAACAATTTGAAAGATAAGTACAATATTAGAAAGCAACAGAAGAGGGGATTACAGATGAGAGAGTTAGAAGTAGAGAGACGAGGGGGTAAAAAGGGGAGGGAGAAGAAGAGGGGGAAGAAGGCAAGGAAAAGAAGTTGTAAAAGACAGAAACAAGAAATGGAGAAACAGGGAAAAGATATAAGGATTGTAACCATAACTTTGTTTCGAGATAATGGGTGAAAATTTAATTGTAAAAGGGATTCTGCAAAGGTACATAAAATAGCTTTGTTATATTACAAATAGAAATAACTTTAGAAAATATGATGATGGATAAAATATTTATTGTAATGCAGTGGGATGTTTGTTAATAAATAAATGAATTAAAATGATTGAGAGAATTAAAAGGGAACATTTTTAATTATTAGTAATGATTTATAAAAATATAAGTGAGAAATATGGAAAAAAAAAGAATTAACTATGGAAAGTTTATAAGTGTTCCCAAGGAAGTATGATATTCAATTGAAAAGAAATGTTAAAGATGTTAAGATTTTAATGCATATTAATGATAGAATTGAATTGGAATGGAATGTGTTTTATTTACATATATATATAACTTTTTCTTTTTAAGAATATAGTGTCTATTTTAAGAATGTACCAAGCTGAATTCGATTGGAAGTTATGTATTATATTGAATGCTATAATCTTAAAGCTATACATTGAAGCTTAAATAAGAGCTTGAATGGATAAAATTAAAGGATATAAAGGTGTCATACTCTAATTGGTAACTACAGGGAAAAATTTGTTTAATAAGAGAAGATAATATGAAATTGTAACAGGACAGACAAAAGTATAAATATAATGATTTGAATTGAGATAATCAAAACAAAGTTGAGAAAATTAGAAGAGGGGAAAAACTATGTAGAAAATATAAAACGGTAATAAGATATGGAATAGAATATAAAAATGAGCATGAAATTGAGTTTTGTGTCTGTATGAAGAAGTGATAACCTGGGACCATGCTATTTTCAAAAAAGATGTTTTATTTGTATTTTGTTTTTGAGAAAACCCAAATAAAATTTTCAAAAAAAAAATGCCTTTGAAAATGCATAGTTCTCCTAAAAGAAAGGCTGTAGCATTCCAATGCCTGTGTCAACTCATAAAATATTTCTATGGTCTTTTAGAGTTGCCAACAGAAAGGGAGGGGGGAGCAATGCGGCAGCTTGCAAACCAAAACTGCATTCCACAAATGTTTTCAAAGATAGTAACTAGGTGACTGAAGTTTCTGTCACACAAAATTCTAACTGGAGAGCATGATTGATGACTCTGGGCTATGGAGGTGTCCCATTGGAGAATATGAATTCCGATACACCCAGGGGGTGGGGGAAAACCAGAGTCAAGGATGACAATGAATTATGTGTCTCAGAGTCAGCTACACCCAGGCAGTGCCGGACTTTTTATCTCCCAATAAATCCTTTTGAAGTTTTGGAAGTTTGGCTCGAGACTCATGATTTAAATGGGGTTAAGGGCCGGAATCCTGATAGACTGCTCAAGCCTGCAACAACTTGAACCTGCAACTACCGAATCAAGACAAAACCACCCGTCTCCCCTGTAGCTCGTTCCTATCCCCCTATACCTAGTGCTGCTAGGTAAGATGAAGTCCTCCACCCTACACGTGCTGAAATCAAGGAAGCTGGCATGCGCATCCCATCTAATTCTGCCATTTTACAAAGGTGTCCGATACCTGGTTTGAGCTTGCTGTAATGCCGCAATTCCCCTTGGTTGGCATTTGAATGGTTTGTTGGCGCATGCGAGTGTCCCTTGCTTTGTCCATCGGAATAGTTCACAAAAATGAAGCCGTCTTTCTCATCCAAGCTCAGGTGGTCAGACCAACGCCTTGTGTCTTCAGAGCTGGTTTCTACTGACCATGCAGCGGTTGCTCGAGCTGAGGATGACCGAGGTCTGTGACCGGCAGGGGCCTGCTGGGGCTGGCTCTCGGGCAGCTTGGTGTCCTGGGCAGGGGCTTGGTCCTCTGCTTCAGAATCACTGCTATCTTCGTCAGGACCTTCTTGACCTTCTATTTGGAAGGCAAAAATAAATGCTTTAATAATGACACTAGGGTGGCACGATGGCTCGGTGGTTAAAAAGCTGAGCTTGTCGTCTGGAAAGCCAACAGCCCAGGTTCGAGACCCGAGTGCTGCATAACAGGGTGAGCTCCCGTTACTTGCTCCAGCTCCAGCCAACTTAGCAGTTCAAAAGCATGCAAATATGAGTAGATAAATAGGTATCACTGTAATGGGAAAATAACAGTGCTCCAAGATATCATGCTGGCTACATGACTGCGGAAATGTCTCTGGACAGCGCTGGCTCAACGGCTCTTGAAATGGAGATGAGCACCGCCCCCTATGGTCAGCAAAAACTAGCTGAGTAAAATCTGAAGGGACTCCCTTTTAATTACAACGCTACTCATGCAGGATTTTCTTCTACAGCCCCACAATCAATGCTTTATAAAATAAATGAAATATCAACTCATAAAATATTTCTATGGTATTTAAGTTTAGAGTTGCCAGCAGAAAGGGAGGGGGGGGGGCGAAAGGGGTTTGAAAGAGCTTGGAAATTGAAAGTGCATTCCATACATAGTTTTTCAAAGATAGTAACTAGTGACTGAAGTTTCTGCCTTGCAAATATCTAACTGGAGAGCATGATTGATGACTCTTGGCTATGGATGTGTCCCATTGGAGAATATGAATTACGATACACCCAGGGGGTTGGGGGAAAACCAGGGTCAAGGGGCACAATGAATTATGTGCCTAAGAGTCGGCTACACCCAGGCAGTGCTGGACATGTTAACTCCCAATAAATCCTTTTGAAGTTTTGGAAGTTTGGCTCAAGACTCATGATTTAATTAAGGTAACTGCCGGAATCCTGACAGCTAGCCGACTCTGAGACACATAATTCATTGTCATCCTTGACCCTGGTTTTCCCCCACCCTCTTCATAATTCATATTCTCCAATGAGACACATTCAATTTCTTTACTATAATTTATTTTGCATTTTATTTTTTTTATAAAGTCTATTTTGGACTGTATTAGCATGTTAAGATGGCAGGAACTTGATCGTGACATTTATCTTAGTCTGATTCATGAAGGAAGAAAAAAAATGTACTTGCATTCAATTTCTCCCTGGTTGATTGGCAGCACCTCAGAACACCATCCAGCAGACACCAACCTCTTCATGCATGAGAGGTAGCTTCATGCATGAGAGGTAGCTTCATGCATGAGAGCTAGCACCTGAATCTTCCATTCCACCTTTGTCCTAAAAGTTTCACTTCTTCTAAACCCACGTATTTATTTTTCTTAAACCACAATCTCATCATAAATCATTACACAGGTAGTCCTAAAATTACAACCATAACGGAGACCACAATTTGGGCTATAGGTTGTTGCAGTTGTTAAGCTAGGTGCCCACATGATCACCTCATCAATGCCTGCAATCCAAATTCCCCCAGTTGCAGCCATTAAATGACCCACAGCGGGGCAGTCTTGCGGACGTAAGAGTGTGGGTGTGCTGCTGCTTTTAGCTATGTGACTTCTGGAATTTGGGTGTGTGTGTCTTATGCCCCTTTTGGTTCAGTACTCTTGTAATTCCAGATGGTCATTGATCAGACCAGTTGTAAGTCGAGGACTAGCTGTATTTCACAGTTGAAAAAAGAAAGAAAGAAAATTTAGAACGTAAAATAAAGCACCTATTTGTGGTTCTGGACAGTCTTCCTGAATTTCAAGCATTTCCACGGGTTCAGGAGCGGGAGTTTCCGGGACCTGTAGAAACTCCATCCGCCAAAACTAAGAAGACAAACATACAATTTACATATTACATATTATTTTTACTTTGGCTTAACTTTCTTTCTTTCTGTCTAGAGCAAATGGTCTCCTAGCGCAAATCATGGTTCATTTAAAACACGAGGATGAATGTTTTGAACATTTAAATTAAAATCAACTCCATTCTCATAAATACATCCAGTCGAAAAGGGTTTAGAATAATAGTAATGAACAGAATCATTATAATATAAAGGAAATCTACACAAATTGCTACAATGCAATGGGAGATCCTAGAAAGTTACTCCATGGTACAACCTTAGAACATTAGCTCAAAATTAAGAATTAGGTTTATTTTTCTGTTTCTTCCACGAATATACACAACCACCGGCCAAAGGAACAATGGCCTTCAAGATATACGTGTTACAATAAATTCTTCAAAAAGGAGGAAGATATAAAAAAGAGAGGGGAAGCAGGTTGCTTTACTACTACGAGTACTTACTCGGACGACTCCATCTGAATGTCCAGTCACAATAACGTTCTGAGTATCCCACTCATTCATTTCTGACATGCAACAACAGAGAATCTGCTGGCTGCGTCCAGTGAAGGTGTTCACACTCACAATGGGGTTTCCGTTAATGCTCCAGACGTGAATGTATGTCCCTGCACATGACACAATATCACCCTAGAAGAAGAGGAAAACATCTTAAACACACACACACACACGCTCACACACCACCTTTAATGCACAACGATTTCTCTCTACTTTCAATTGTAGCATTCAGCTTGACAAGGGAAAAAGAAATGCATCTCAAGACAAGGGCACAATCAGCTGAGGGACTAAAAAATGTTTTCTACAGCATTTGGTTGCAGTTTAATGCAACCCCATTAGGGAGTGGAATTGCAAAAAAAATACCTCCAGAGATTGCGCAGGTCAGTGGAAGCCTCCTTTGAACGGCCTGGCATTGAAGTCATGTTCCCACCACGGCAGGGACACTCAAACTGATTCCACGTCCCTTGAACAAGATTGTTTTTGCGCCTTTTTGTGCCACAATCCCCACTTGGGAATGACACCACAACAGGTTCTGTCTATGCCACGACTCTGCTATTCAATCATTTCTATGCATTCAAAAATTTTAGCAAAGGGTTCTCTGCCTGGTTGCTGGGTGGGCGTGTCCACGGTGGGCGTGTCCACGGTGGGTGTGGCCTAGTTGGTCTCCTGCAACACGGCGTTGCCCTCCCTGTGCTCTGGAGGCTTTCCTCGGGCCTCCGGGAGTGCGAAAACGGGCTCTCTAGGCTCCGGAGTCTCTCTGGAAGCCGGAAACCGGCCCATTTCCGGCCTTCCTGAACTTCCGGGAGGCCTGTTCTTCACCCTCCCCGAGCCTCCGCGCACGCCCTGCACTTACCTGCATCCAAAATGGGCCACGTGGGGACTCCTGGGAGGGGAGGGACAGGATGGGTGGAGCCAGCCAGGAGTGGGATTTGGGGGTTCTCTGAACTGCACAGATTGTAGCTAGGAGCTCTCCCGAACCCCTGCGAACCCCCAGCAGCCCCACCCGTTTCTATGACAGGAAGCCATAGGGAAACAGCTTCCATAGCCACAGAAATAAACATTAAGTGGTTTATAATAAACATTATTATAAACATTAAGTGGTTAACACTAAAATGGTGAATAATAGTTTCAGACTAGGAACGATTTTAAAAAAAAAATTGCATATAATGTTTCTACTTTTGGGGGACAGTAACTTCATATTCAGGCAGTCCTCGACTTGCCCCACTCATTTAATGACCATTCGAAGTTACAACGGCACTGAAAAAAGTGACCAATGTCCGTTTTTCACTCTTATGACTGTTGTAAGCATTCCCAGGGTCACGTGATCGAAATGTGGATGCTTAGCGACCGGTTCATGTTGGTGAGACGTTTGCAATGTTCCAGGGTCATGTGATAACCTTTTGCGACTTTCTGACCAGTAAAAGTCAGATTCACTTAGTAACCGTGTTATTAACAACTGCAGTGATTCACTTAACAACTGTGGCAAGAAAAGTCGGAAGATTATTTACATATATAGATTATTTTACATCATAATTATAGCCATTATTCTCATAGTTATACCATATAATCTTCACCTCTAGTCACTTTATTTAGATCACGTGACTACGGGGATGCTGCAATGGTTGCAAGTGTGAAAAATTGTCATAAGTCACTTTCCCCCAGTGTCGTAACCTCAAATGGTCACTAAACTGGTTGTAAATCAAGGACTACCTGTAAAGCAAACTATAAAGCCTCATCTCTGAGTACAGGTGCTCGGTTTATTAGGCCTGGGCTTGTACTCATACCGTCAGTTCATTGATGCAGAGGGCTGACACCGGAGCCCTGTGACCCCGAAGCTGCGTTACAAAGGAAAGTTTATTCAAATCCCAGATGATGCAGGTCCGGTCACATGACCCACTCACAATGATGTGATAGGCCAGTGAAGCTGTTAAACATGTGACTGTCTCAGTATGGCCGAGCAGCGCCTAAATGCAAAGCAAAAGGGAGCAAAAATCAAAACCAAGATGCACTACCACACAACTTGCCAACAGTTATTTCTTCAGACACATGAAAAATAAAGACTTGGAAAGGTATAATGAGTAGAGTACAAAAGATAAATTAAAGCTGTAGGAAGAAACACAATACTAAGAGTCCTAGTGGTGCAGTGGTTAGAAGGCAGCATGGCAGGCTAACTCTGTTCGATCCTGACCGGCTCAAGGTTGACTCAGCCTTCCATCCTTCCAAGGTTGGTAAAATGAGGAGCCAGATATGTTGATGTTGTAATCTGCTCAGAGAGTGCTGTAAAGCACCATGGGGCAGCATATAAGTCCAAGTGCTATTGATATGGGAAAGGCAGGGGTCTCCAAACTTGACTGCTTTAAGACTTGTGGACTTCAACTCCCAGAATTCCTCCTCCAGTCATGTTAGCTCAGGGATTCTGGGAGTTGAAGTCCACAAGTCTTAAACTTGCTAAGTTTAAAGACCCTTGGCCTAGAGCAACGTCTAAAAAAATCCCAAACTTGGTGAACTGTGTCTAAACAATATGGTCAAAGAATTTCCTTTCTACAGCAAAGGAAGAAACTTCATCAATCTATCTCTGCCAACAACAGACAGGAAAAAAAAACCAAAAATCCTTCCTTTCAGTTCAGACCTAATCAGTGAAGATTTTGATGCAACTCAGTTGTTCAATTGGGCTAGATTTTTTATGGATTTCAAGTAATTTTCCTGCAATTATAAAAGAGGACAATATGCTACTTGGAGGGGGAATACTTTCCATATTTAAAAAAAATGGAGAAACTGGTAGTGGGTGTTTTCCACAACCGTGACAGCTTTCATACTAAAATATTTAGTTCAATAATTCAGCAATAATCTTTGTAGAGGTTCTCTGGAAGACCTTTCAGGATTTCATGCAGAATTTTAATTTACCTGCTTGAGGGTCAGCATTTTGGCTTTTTCCTTGGAGGTCCCCATCTCCCATACGCAGACAACAGTGCTGGTGCCCCCAGTAATGACCAGTTTAGGGTTTGGACAGATGGCACAAAGAACTTGTCCCCATTCCGATAAGCATTCATAAACAATCACTGCCTAAAAAAATAAATAAAAAGAATGAATAGTACAGGCATTGACTTTCAGAACATCCAGTCCCAAGTATTCTATTGGTGTGGTTTCTTGGTGTTCTCTTAGGTTGGTTGTTTTCTTGCAGACATTTCATAACAAATCTAGGTAACACCATCAGTCCTATGGTGATACTGAGTTTGATAATGAAATGTCTCCAAGAAATCAACCAAACTTAGAGAGCACCAAAGAAACCACACTTCATCCCTGAGCTAAAAAAAAAAGTGAAACTCGAATAATTAGAATATCGTGCAAAAGTTCATTTATTTCAGTAATGCAACTTAAAAGGTGAAACTAATATATGAGATACACTCATTACATGCAAAGCAAGATAGTTCAAGCCATGATTTGTCATAATTGAGATGATTATGGCTTACAGCTCATGAAAACCCCAAATCTACAATCTCAGAAAATTAGAATATTACATGCAATCAATAAAACAAGGATTGTACATAGAACAATATCGGACCTCTGAAAAGTATAAGCATGCATATGTACTCAGTACTTGATTTGGGCCCCTTTTGCAGCAATGACTGCCTCAATGCGGCGTGGCATGGAAGCTATCAGCCTGTGGCACTGCTGAGGTGTTATGGAAGACCAGGATGCTTCAATAGCGGCCTTCAGCTCTTTTGCACTGTTCGGTCTTATGTCTCTCATCTTTCTCTTGGCAACGCCCCATAGATTCTCTATGGGGTTCAGGTCAGGCGAGTTTGCTGGCCAATCAAGCACAGTAATCCCACGGTCATTGAACCAGGTTTTGGTGCTGTTGGCAGTGTGGGCAGGTGCCAAGTCCTGCTGGAAAATGAAGTCAGCATCCCCATAAAGCTCGTCTACGGAAGGAAGCATGAAGTGCTCCAAAATCTCCTGGTAAACGGCTGCATTGACCCTGGACTTAATGAAGTACAGTGGACCAACACCAGCAGATGACATGGCTCCCCAAATCAACACAGACTGTAGAAACTTCACATTGGACTTGAACATCTTGCAGTGTGTGCCTCTCCATTCTTCCTCCAGACTCTGGGTCCTTGGTTTCCAAATGAGATGCAAAAGTTGCTCTCATCAGAAAAGAGGACTTTGGACCACTGAGCAACAGACCAGTTCTGTTTTTCTTTAGCCCAGGTAAGACACTTCTGATATTGTTTGTTGTTCAGGAGCGGCTTGACAAGAGGAATATGACCTTTGAAGCCCATGTCCAGGCTCCGTCTGTGTATGGTGGCTCTTGATGCACTGACTCCAGCTTCAGTCCACTCCTTGTGAAAGTCCCCAACACTTTTGAATGACCTTTTCCTGACAATCCTCTCCAGGCTGCGGTCATCCCTGCTGCTTGTGCACCTTTTTCTTCCCTTCCACATAACTTTCTATTAATGTGCTTTGATACAGCACTTTGGGAACATCCAAGTTCCTTTGCAATTACCTTTTGAGGCTTTCCCTCCTTATGGAGGGTGTCAAGGATGGTTTTCTGCACAACTGTCAGGTCAGCAGTCTTTCACATGATTGTGATTCCTACTGAACCAGACTGAGAGACCATTTAAAGGCTCAGGAACCCTTTGCAGGTGTTATGGCTTACTTAGCTGATTAGAGTGAGACACTTTGAGCCTAGAATATTTCACAATATTCTAATTTTCTGAGATTATGGATTTGGGGTTTTCATGAGCTGTAAGCCATAATCATCACAATTATGACAAATCACAGCTTGCACTATCTTGCTTTGCATGTAATGAGTCTATCTCATATATTAGTTTCCCCTTCTAAGTTGCATTACTGAAATAGATGAACTTTTGCACGATATTCTAATTTTTCGAGTTTCACCTGTATACTCTTCCTTCAGTACTATTCTGTCATTGAATTAGTATAAATGGTAAACTGAGGACACTGGCTATGAAGCAGTGCTTGAAAGATCCAAGATTAATTTGGATAAATGGTCAAGAAGGGCCTAATAGTACATTTTCTACCTTATGATTCTGGAATCAGAGACCTGTCTCTCTTTTTCATTTTAACTCCCCTCCCTAAAATGGGTTACACGTGATTGAAATAGTGGAAAATTGAAAAAGTGGCTAGCTCTACTCTTTTGAAAGTGATCAACTATGACTTTATTTGTGAATGATGCCAAAAGGCAAGACCAGACCAGACCAGTTTCCATATAAAATAGGCAGAATAGGAAAATTGTACATATTTAATGCAAAAATCAGGGATGTCAAACTCATGTCGTCATGGCAGTATCACGTGACATATTGGGACCTATATACTGGGTGTTGGGCATGGCCAGTGCATGATGCATTCAGACTGTAGACCGGGAGTTGGACAGCCCTGACATAAATAGTTTAATCAAGACCCACTATTGAGACAATGCATTTGACCCAAATAATTCAATTCATTTTTCTACCCAGTATATAAGCCAGAGAGATACAAACCTTATCTGATTCATAGGCTCCTAACCTACAGCTGAGATCCGCATAACCCCAAGCAAAAGTTTTATTCCAGGTGGGCGGAAGGAGAACTTTGTTCATTTCCACAGCCAAAATTCCTTTGTCTGTGCATACTATCTGCCCGACCAGCTCCTTGAGTTCTGTTTTTAAAGAAAAAAAATAACAGGTAATCAGGATTCACTTTTTGAAAAAAAATCTTTTCATAGAGCACTCCCCTAATGAAATTTGAAGAAAGCCGTGCTAGGGACATACGGGGAGTCCTCAACTTATGACATGTATGAAATCAGTAAGCAAATATTTAAATTTGAGACGGCAGGCCAGGTATCTCAACTGAACTTCACTGATAAATGTAACTTTGAGAGAAGGAACCGCAAAGCGGACTATGAAGTACTATTAAAATAGGCCAAGAGTAAGGGGAAATGATTACGTGTACCTTTTACTGGTGCAAGAGAAGGCTTGAGGTTGTCTAAATGGTGGAAAAAAATCTTGTTGTTTGTGATGCCAGGGGGAACAGAAATTCCACTTATTTCTCCATTAATTCTGCTTCTCACTCGTTTTGGTGGGTGAGGTTTCTTAAATAACTGCAGTAGGAAAGAGAACATGTCAAGCTTAATAGATAGAATTTCAGCAAAACTGCCTAATTTGCAGAAATGTCGTTCAAAACGTGTCAGCGACATAAATCTTTCTGCAAGTACATGTTGTTATTTAACTTCTCTTTTTCCTGCCCACACACAACTATTAATGCCTCAGTACTTCTGCAAGGAAGAAGAACATGACTCTGCTTGAAATATTGGGGTATTATGCACACAGTAACAGAAAGCATAAAAAAGAGGCATATTTCAACATCCCAATCACATGGTATCATTCTGTGAGAATAATTTTAGGTTGGGTTATCAACCTGTTGAGGGAGATTGGATCCCTGGCTATTTTAGGGGACAATTTACGTCTCAGTTTCCTTGTTTTATCTCCTGAATTTGTTTGTTTATTCAATTGGTGAGGCTTAGGCACAGTTCCAACAAAGATTCTTTATTGAGAAGAAATTGAATTTCAGTAACAGGAAAAATTCAGTGTGTTTTCAATGGCTTCAACGCATCATCCCATGTTGAATAAACAACTTTCCAATATTTATGACTTCTAATAATATGGATGCCCATATTAATCAATCAATCACTCAATCAAAATGCCTGAAAAATCCAACAGGGAAGATGTGTCACTTAAATTGTTGAAAACATAAAATTAATACACACAATGCCAAGTTATAGCTGTCATAACCATATATACCTTGAATTATGAAAATCTGACAAGTTCACACCAACCTTTCCATAATTTTAATCTTTTAAAAATACTTCTTTGAAAGCATGTGGTTATTTCATTTTTTTCTTATAACCTCATTTCAGAAGAGTTTGGAAGGTTTTTCTAATCAAATAGCATTCCAAGCTTGCTCCTACATATTGAATATTTATGCAAGTCCAAATCAGATATGATTATTTACACTGTTCTTGACCTCAAGTATTTGCAGAAACTTCTTATCACCCAGTCATGAGAACAGGAAATAAAAGAGTATCTATTCTGAGTCATCCAGCTGCCATTCACCTTTAACTTGGTTATGTTATCATGCAATGATCTTTCTAATCAAGTACCTGCCCCTACTGAAATCAAGAGTATCACTCATTTGCAGTATCATGTGTTAACTGTTGATTCCAGGGGTGGGATTCAAATTTTTTAACAACCAGTTCTGTGGGTGTGGCTTAGTTGGTGGGCGTGGCTTGGTGGTCATGTGACTGGGTGGACATGGCTTGGTGATTATGTGACTGGGTGGACATGGCTTGGTGGTCATGTTACTGGCTGGGCGTGGCCAACTCAATATTACTCACATCGAGGCATGCATCTCCTTGCCTAGCCTCTCAAGACTGTGGGGAGGCTGCAACAGTCATAAGTGTGAAAAATGGTCATAAGTCACTTTTTTCAGTGCCATTGTAACTTTGAATGGTCACTCCACACAAGCAAAGTACCAAAGCAAAGGAGGGGGGGAAAAAACTCCAGAGACGTTCCTGAGACAGGAAGTCTAGTCCTGCCAAGAATGTAATAAGGGTTAACGGAGAGGCAGTTTCTGTAAGCAACACCAGAATGTTTCCTTCCTGCCTTCCTTACAGGATTAGGCCAGTAATTTCTTCTAACAACCGGTTCTTCGAACTGCTTAGAATGTTAACAACCGGTTCTAGCGAATAGGTGCAAACCTGTAGAATCCCACCCCTGGTTGATTCTAAATATCTGAGCATCAATGCTTCAACATAAAATTATAAACACAGCTATGTGATTAAAACTTCTTCCTTGAAGCTGTGCATTCCAACTCAATGCTTTTGGGAAGAATTTTGTTTGCAATTTCCAGAAACTCCTAAAACTATGGTGCCCTTAGTGCTCTCTGAGCTTGGTTGTTTTCTTGCAGATGTTTCATTACCCAAACTAAGTAGCATCATCAGTGCTAGTAGGGAGTAGGGTTTACACTCTGTTTATATTCTAGTGGCTTGCACTGTCAGTGTTGGTGAGGGTGGATTTATAAGTTCTTTGGTTGGGCTGTTTACCATTGGCTTGTTTGGCAGTTCCTTTATTGGGGTATTTACTTGATTATTGGTCTGATATTAATCTTGGTGTTAATCTATGCTCATCTGGGTGCTGATTGGTGGTGGGGAGAGGTTTTTGGCCCTTTTGTTTCTTTTGCATAATATGTAGATATTGTTAATGTCTATATGTCTTATTAGCACTCTAGATGTCCCTTACTAGCACCGAGGATATTACCTAGTTTGGATAATGAAACGTTTGCAAGAAAACAACCAAGCTCAGAGAGCAACAAAGACCTCTCATTTCAAATATTCTCCTTTACTGGTGCTTCTAGAGCTACAGAGTTGCTATAGTTACCAAAATCCCAACATATCTCGAAGGCAGCAGGCTGGGAAAAGCATACATCTTACAGATCTCCCAAAATGTGAGTAAAAATCAACTCTTTCAAAAAAATGCTACCTGTTTAGGTATCTGCCCAAAATTATTAATGAATCCAATTGTAGCTGTTTCTTTCAATGGATCATTGATGTTGTAGATGTCCACTTGCCCCTCATAGAAGAGATGGTGGAAAACATTGACAGCTTCTACTGCAGCTGGCCCTTGCTGTTTATAGCCAAAGATTAAGTCAATCCATTCATGTAGGTGCGCGCTCACAAAATCACACTCCAAGGCCTGCAATTTAGAATATAGAGGTTAAATAGAGACAACCTATTCCATTTGTTCTATTCACCATGAAGGAATAAGAGTAACAGTTAAAGAAACAGGGTGACCTACCTGCACCCAAGGGTTATTTTTTCCAGAAAAAAAGAATAATTCATTCCATATTTTATCTGAGCAAAAATGTAAACTGGGATATTTATTAGATTTCTATCCCTCCTTTATTACTTTAAATAAATAATTCAAGGCAATGAACATAGGTAAGAAATTTATATTTCTTCCTCCTTCTATTGTCTGCACAACCACCCTGTAAAGTGAGTTGGGCTGAGAGAGAGGGGCCAACCCCAAATTACCCAGCGAGAACTCATAGTCTCCTGGTGATTGGACCAAGGTCACCCAGCTAGGTTTCGTGCTTAAGGCAGAACTAAAGTTCATAGTCTTTTGGTAATTGGTCCAAAGTCACACAGTCAGTTTTCATGCCTAAGGTGGGACTAGAACTCAAGTCTCCTGGTGATTGTACCAAAGTCACCCAATTAACTTTTGTGCCTAAGATAGGATTAGAACCTCTACAGCAAACTGGATCTGAAATGAGGAGCAAAATGAGGACTAATAGATTGAGAAACAGTTTCTTTTTCAAGGCAGTAATTGTCTTGAATCAAACAGTGTGATTTAGTCCTATTATTATGATGATTATGATTATGATTCTTAAAATTCTGTAGTGTGATTGTGATGTGGTGTTTGGGGCACTGTGCTGGAGTAGTTTTCAAATTTCATTGTATTCGTGGAATGCAATGACAATAAAGGTATTCTATTCTATTCTATTCTATTCTATTCTATTCTATTCTATTCTA